GTTTTGCTAGCTGAGAAGTATCAAATGAACGAGATCTCTACAATCAACTAGGTATAACCCTTTAAAAACATAACTACAATCATTAAATTCAGGACCTTCGTCCCGATTGTCATCAACGAATTGATCTGTCGATTTATCACCAATTTTCTACACCTTATGGCTATTAGATCCGGAGAAGAGCTGTTGGGCCGTCATAGTGCAATCTCGGCAGTTTTAGATATTGTAAGTCCTTTAAAATTTAATACAGCCTCTGGTACGCGTAATGCTTCCATTAAAAACGGTTTTTTAATTTAAAAGCTTAAACATAAAACTTTACCTTAAAAACAATACCTTTCAGTTCACTTCCTACCGAATCGCGTTCGCCCACATTGTCATCATCCGCCACATCCACGGGCGCTGCCGGTTGAAGGAGAAAAGCGCCTTCCTCTACGAAAACCAGTATCCCAACGAGATCACCGACAAGTACTTTGAGGCCTACCGCAAAAGCTGGAGGCTTGAGAGAAAGAAATAAACGTTTAGCGTTTTGATCTCCGCTATTCGTTTAATTACAGCTACAAAACAATTGTTTTTTTATTTTTTTAATTTACAAATTTAGTAAACTTAGTTTACACAGACTGAATTGCAGTCATAATACAAACAGTCATTTTAAGAACTAAGTTTTAAAACCGTTCTAAGAAGTAAAATTCGGAAAGCCTAAAAGTGAAAAGTTATCGATCTGCGCCTAAAAGACCTTCGATTTGCTTTTCGGTCCATGCCTTCAAAATGTCAAAAAAACAAGCAAAAATGAACTTTACACAGAATCTACGTACTACAGTTTAAAATATTTGTTAGTGATTTAGATTTCTTAAAATGTTTTATTTTTTAACAAAAAATCTCAAAATCACTCCCCTCCGATTACACCTATTGACGCCAGGTCGTCTATCTTTGCGCCACCGGACAGCGATTTCCTCTTTTACGATTTTCCAGATGATGATACTTTTCTTATTTATTTTTTACCTTGTTCGCCTTGTCAATCCATGATTATTCATCGTTTAGCGCTTCCGTCTGGGCCCCTGCACCATCAGCGCGTATGATGGCGGATGGCCTCGTTAACTTGAGTAAGAGTTTTCTAAGATTTCCCTAGTCTCCTTTAGACCGCGAATACGACGAAAGCGGCCCTCTGATGATCGGCTCGACAACTACATCTTCGAGGCGTCCCGCCGACTAGAGCCTGGCCTGGAGATGGAACGCTCCGTTTTTCAGGTTCTTCGTTTTTTAAAGAATTGACTTTTTTTAGTGCACTTACAAGGAATGCAACAAAAGAATCAACGGCGGGACAGCGATGGTCTGCCATTTGTGGGCTCACAATAGTACGTTATACCGCTATAAAGTATTTTTTTTGGCTTAGATATTACATCGACATTCAAGAGCCTGACCAGCCCACTTTCCATGTTGGATGCGGTGCGCGGGGTTCACATATCGACGCGATGCCCAGAGTGCTTGCAAGGCTTTCAATGCCAATATGATGTTCAGGTATAGCTTGATTTATCATGTTATTCTTTTCATTTTTAGCTACATTTCCAGGATGCACATTCACGGATCACCGGAAACCGCGGCGAGGAAATGTGTGCGATTTTGTGAAGAAACACAGCCCGGATTTATGAACACTTGGGAACTCATCCAGCCGGTGTAAGTTGTCGTTTTCTGTTTCCTGCAAACGTTTTGCAGGATTCCCCGTACATTTGTCGAGGGCATGGCTGCGACTTTCGGACGTCCTCGCGAATGCAACTTTTTGATCACTATGCGCAGGTAAATAATGATTTAGTTAAGTTTCTTTATGCTATTTAGATACACCGTGATACGAACATGCTGTAGTGCCCCTTCTGCCCGTTCGTCATTTTTCTGCCGCGCAAGCGCATATCCGGCTAAGGAACGAGGTCGAAATAGACTGCTCGGCGTTGGTGGATCATTTTGTGGAGCATCTAAAAGGTAAAGCTTGATTGCTAAAATGCGGGTTAATTTAGTATTTCCGGTCGGTCTAGTAACGTAAAAAATGGTGGTTTTTAGTAAATCTAACTGTATTTCAACGGGAAAATCATTTAGCAGAGTTGAAAATGTCCAAAATATTTGAATTTCCGTCGAAAAAGCTGTATTTTAAGTCGACTAATATGACTATTTTAGTTGAGCAAGCGCACCGGTGCCCTCGATGCGCCTATACCTTTCTCACACGGTCACAGCTCTCTGCACACCTAAGTGCCGCACACACCGGCATCAAATTGTCCACCTGGACGATCACCATGGTAAACCTAACTATTTGATTTTTAACATTTATCCAGATTAAAAATCAACCGCTCAACCTGCCAGCGAAGCCGAGTAAACCCTGCGACGGCAACAACAATGACCACTGCCCGATTTGTGACCGACCGTGCCCGTACAAGCAATACGAAAAAACGCCGTCGACCCGCCGAATTATCGCGGCCCCCAAGATTCTGCGCGGCGGCCTGAATAAGCAGCGTATTGGGGGGTAGTAGTTTTTGTGTTTTAATGATTTTTGTTTTTAGAATCCGCTACAAGTGCTCGTGCGGTGGCTTCACGACTTTTGACCCGGACCGGTTTGCGGTCCACGAAAAGAGCTGCTTCAATTCGGGCGGCGTTTTCCTGGAGAGCCTGCCGGAAAGGTTTTTTTAGTTTCATCTTATTTTACATATCCTTAGGACCCTTGAATTCTGCGCCACCCTAGCAAAGATGAGCTGCAGAAGCCGCCTCCCGCGCTCGTCCCGTCAAAGGTATTCAGGTGTTTTTGGCCTTTTTGCGTAAAGTGGGATTTTCCCTAGTAATCAAATGTGTTAAAATAGATATCTTAAATAGTTCAATACTTTGGCTACTAGTCCAGATCGTCAAACTTAAAAATGTGTATTAAGAATACGGAAAATCGATTTTCGACCGAAGTGTCACTTTTTAGATATGTTTTCTTAGATCCAAATATTTTCCCCAACGAGATTTAGCTAAATTTTACAGAGAAGACTATCAAAATGCCAGCTTTTACGTTGCTGCCTACCTTGTCGAAGAATGCCTTCCTTCCCTAGAAATATTTCAAACTCTAGTCGTCTTCAAATTCGTTTTATATGTCTTTTTTAGAAACCGGCACCCTTCTCATCGGCACCCTTCAAAAATCGAAACATCTCGTTTCCACGGATAGAAAATATTTGCAATCTGAGTAACGATACATTGCCGGAGACAAAGAGGGATTTGATGTAAGCTATTGTCTTCAGTTATTATCCCGTGCTATAGACGCGTGCGCGATCAACGATATGAGCCCAGCCTTGCCGTTTATCGCCAGCTCTTCGCCTGATAAGTTACAATTCCCCTCTCTTTCACCGCTTACCTTTCCCTGGTAGCTTGTCTCTTTGCATTTTCTCACTTTGTTAACCTGGCCAAATTTCGCTATCGCATTTTGTTTATTCGCATGTTTAGAGGTTTCTTTATTGGTATGTGTGATGTTTATTTTTTTGCTGAGTTAGATTTTGCAGTTGATAATAAAGAGTCTATAAATCAGGGAATTCTACGCAGAGGCAGTTGATTTGATTTTCGGTCGCTTATTTTAGCATTGAGCTTTTGGGCCGTGTGAGCTTATCTCGGTCACATGGAACAGCCTATTTTATGCTTGGGGTGACACGGGCTCAATTTCCGCCTCATTTATAGCGCAAGCTTGATTGGCAGCTGACCACCGCGAGTTCTATACGTTTTTAGGCGAGCCGGAGTGCTGCATCGGGGCCCGTTCGCTCGAACGAGTGGCTATTTGAGAAACTGGCTGAGGTTTGTCTGAATTTTTCGGTGCTTGAGTATTCACGGTGAAGAAGGCGAAATTTTTTCAATTTGGCATGTAGCCGCTTATTAATAAAGAACAATATGGTTTTACAGATTCATCCATTTAAGAGCCTTTTTCTAGTGTAGTCGTTGTTAATCACCTAAACATTTAAAACTCTGGAAACGCCTTAAAAGCTTGAATCTTTTGCACAACTTTTGACCAAGAAATCAGAATTTGTAGACATTTTTCGGTTTGAAAGCGTGTGAAATGCTATGGAATTAAGTGTCTCGCCCTCTTTTAGCGCCACCAAAAAAAAATATTTTGCTAAAAATGAGGAGCACCAACTTTTCTCATAAATTGGCTAATTTTCCTTCCTTTCCCTTTCTAAATTTGGGCACATTTGTCTAGCCGCTTTCCCATAATATTTTTCGGGCAAAGGAGTGTTTGATGGGGTAAATGGCCTTTTCATTGTCGCCTTATGTTGTTGCCCAAACAAACACATTCCGCCCGGTGCGCGTTGGAACTACCCGCGCCCTCGACCGCGCGCTCGCGCATTCACCGGGTGATACCCCGGTATTCAACGCGGTATGTATGGGGCACATTAAATGTGGGTGGAGGCTCGTTTTGGCATGCCCCATGTTGCTATGGCATTTTTGGGATGGGCTTTTGATTTTGTGTGACGTTGTTTTCTACTTTTCGGGCTTGTTCCAAAAGTTTATGGTTAGATTCAGCTTTGAGCGTACTCTTAAATCCCTTCATTAAGGCAAGCGAAGAAAGGTTTACTTGACTTATTTTTTCACAATGATAATATTTTCGCCCTCACTTCATTTAAGTTCATCTTATTTCTGGATCAGTCTCTGTGGACCAAAAACGATTTTATTCTGCTGCTAATCGTTGTGAGTATACAATTGTAGTTCGAAACTTCTAAAATTTTAAGAAAGCTGCCTTGCTGGTAGAGTTAGGGCCAAAGTGACAGAAAAGCTCAAAATCTTAATTTTCGGAATTAAAAGATCTTTTTATGGCTTTGGTCAGCAAAATGATACTATTTTTGCTAGGGATGTATAGACATTTAAAAGAATGTCCTATTTGATTTCATGCCAAATTTTCGTCCGAATCACGACCCGGCACCTTTTAACCATTTTCACCTTTAATTCCAGTTTTTTAGAAGGAGCGATTCGCCATCCGTCCGCGGCCGCATGTGGCTCTTCCTGATTTTCCTGGCCCTGGCCCAGATCGGCTCTGCCCAATATGATGCTCAACGGTTCAAGGTCTTGTTTTGTTTATTTTCCTTTAAAAGTCGGCTACCTAGACAGGGTCCGGATCTCGACTCGCAGCACTTTGCGAGTAAACAGTCCTCGTAATTTGACTGACGCGATTACGCGGCACGGGAAAATAACTCACGCCGTTCCCACCGCCACCCAATATGTTGATCTCGGGGGACCGGTTCCGAAAACCATTTTGGATTGCGCGGATTTTCGGTTGACCATGAGGACTGTGTGAGATCCCCCACACCACCATAGCCTTCCCAAAACGCAGCCTATAGAATTCGGGGGCGGCTCTGTATTTGCTTCTGCCCTCTCCACCCCACAATAGTGACTTTTCAAGCGGTTCGCGGGGCGGGTGATCGCTGTTCGAGGTAGTGGCACTTTTTGTTCCCCCCACCCACTTTGGCTAGCTATGCTGTTTTCGTTGCTACTCTACGCATATTTGGTCCCGCTAGTTGCAAGTCGTAAAAGGGAATTTAGGGTTGGTGAAAAACCACGTGGAGGTTGGGCTCTTCTGCATTATCGGGGGAGGCGATTTTTCCTATAAGATATTCGCAGTTACGTAATAAAATGCATTTTTAATATCGTTTTTAGCTATATTTTGCTATATTTTAGGTAAAAATTATCTAAAAAGCTGTTCAAAAAACTTTAGAAATTTGAAGTTTGATTCGAATATAGGCTTTTTGATCGAAAAATCTATATTTTTTGAAATACTGTTTAGTAAGGTACGTATTAAGGTTATGAATACTGAAAAGGGTGCAGGAAAGGCGTTATTTATGCTAGCAAAAAATTTCGCCCCAAAGGAAAGACGTTGCCCCCCGATAATGCATAAGCACCAAGTAAGATTTAAAATTCAGGAAATGGGTCGAAAAGATAATCATTTTGTATTTCAGGTATACTGGAATGCTCCCACGGGTATCTGCGAACACAAAGGCGCCAAGGTCCATCTCGACGACTTTGAGATCATCCATAATAAAGTAGACAGTCTTTTTTACAAACTATTTTTCCTCCTAGAATCAATCTTTCTTCGGCGACCAAATCGTCGCCTTCTACGAGTACAGCTTCGGCACTTTCCCATATTTCCACGCGGGAAATGAATCGCTGCCAGTTAATGGCGGGCTCCCACAGGTCGGTGTTTTTTAAAAAGTTCTAGTTTTTTTTCTAGCTTTGCGACATCTCGGCTCACTTGACGGCTGTGCAACAACACATTGAGGAGCGGATCCCGAACGAGGATTTTTCGGGGATAGCCCTGATCGACTTTGAGGAGTGGCGCCCGCTTTTTCATCTGAATTGGGGTATCCATTCTGCAAATTTACTTAATTTTTGTTTTAGGGAATAAACGAGTGTACCAACGGGAATCCGTGCGTCTGGTCAAGGAGCGCGAGCCGACAATTTCCGACAAAGCCGCAAAAATGATCGCTCAAAAAGAGTTCAACTCGGCTGGGCGGTACGCTCTAACAGACATGGTTGAATTCGTCGACTTATTTTGGAAATTCCGAAATTCAGAACGTGGAAGTTTTGGTTGAAATTGATAATATCGCATTTTGAAAATGTGAACTTCGACATATGCAAATTCTGGAAATTCTGAAATTCCGGCATTTTGAAGTTTCGTCAATTTCAATTTCGGCTTTTTGATGGCAATTGTTTTAGTCTAATCTTTCTCGAGACGATCCGAATCGCCCGCATCATGCGCCCGTATGCCAAATGGGGCTTCTACGGGTTCCCCTACTGCAACTACGACGCCGGCCACAATGGCGAATTCACCTGCGCCGACAATTTTCAAGCGCACAACGACGAGTAAGGCAAAAACTTTTGTTTAATATTTTATTTTAGTTTGGCCTTCATCATGAAAGCCGGCAACGCGCTGTTCCCCTCCCTCTACCTGGGCGACAATCGAGCCCACCGGAACTTCAGGTATATTCAAGTGAGTCTCGTTGATCCGGAATTTTGACTTTATAATCTAGTGATTTTATGTTTTATTTAGGCAATCCTCGCCGAATCTCGGAGGATAGCCCTCACAGCCGATCACCCCCTCGACATCTATCCGTACAGCAAATTCGAATACGACCCCTACGACGAAATGAGGATAGAAGAGTTTTATGAAAAGGTGACTTTGTTAGAATATTTAATTTATAGTTTTTTTTAGCGAGATCTCTGCAACTCTATAAAGCAAAGCGCTGACGCAGGGACAGCCGGGATAATTCTGTGGAGCACGTCGAAGCGAATGTGGAAGCCGAGATGCAGCATGATTGGGGATTTTGTGGAGCGCACGCTTGGACCGTAAGTTTTAGTGTTGTTTTTTTTTTAATTTCTGTACTTTCATGTGAGGACCGATATGGAAACAAAAGCATTTTATTATCCAAAAAATAATAGAGGTACAACAAGTAGGATCAGAAGAGTGCAATGCTTGGTAGAAAAGGCGATTGCGTGGCTTACAGAAATACGAGAAGGAATATATAATTGGATTAAAGGAATTTATGGAATAGTTTATAGAAATTCTAGATGAGTTGTAAATTGATTAACCGCAACAAGCGCTAAAAATATTATACTATGATTTATAAATGATCAATGGAAGAAATATTATCGCGCTTCTAATATTTAATGGAGGACATCATAGTAGTAGGTATTAAAATGGGAAAATTATTGAGCGGGTGGCATAAGAAAATATTGCCGTATTAGAACTTAGCGAAACCAACGCAAGAAACCAGAGTAAAATTAGAGGAATTACGAACAGGGATTTCTGGGAAATATTTAGCAAATCCAGATTTGTAAAGGGCAGTCGGGAAATGGGAAGTTTTAGAGGTGAAAAAATCAGACGCGACGATAGGGCTAACAATTTTGGTAGAGACATTATTCGAAAAATCGGCGAATCCTTGAGATGAAATCTTGACGAAACCTGGGTCTTCTTGGTGGTACTGCTCGGCGGGGATGGGCTCTTCAGGTTGTGGGGGTACGGTAGTCTTGTTGAATTGGTCGAGATCGGGGTAACAGAAATATTCATCGGCGCATAGCTGAAAAGAGATGAAAATAATTTAATTCCATAAAAATTGATAGTGTTCGTTAGTTACTTTAAAAGTTACGCAAATAAAACGAACTTAAAACCAATTTAAGCTAAAATTTAATTTTGAAAATCGAATCGATAAAATTAGCGTAAAAAGTTTGTTAACCTAGAAAAGTTATTTAATCAAATCCAAATAAGCAGAATAAAAGCCTACCTCAATCCAATCCATCTGTAGCCACGGTTCGACCGTTTTCCATAGGAAATCAAAGGCTGTGAGGGGTACTGTAGGTTGGGATACGGTAGTCGGGAGGATAGGTGCTTCTTTCGCTTTCACAGGGATGATTTCGATTTCCAATTCAAATTCCGGAGTCGGCGTAGAGATCGGAGAAGATCGGACAGTCAGGTCACGGCCCAATTTCATCATACCAGGGCGGTAGATCTGCAATAATTCATCGTTAAATGGGTGTTTATAATTTGTTAATATTTTTTTTATTGCATTTTCCGTTTATGTTAATTTTTCTAAGCTGTTATCTGGCTTAAAATAAAATCTTGGCTTTAATGAACGTTTAAACGTATGTTCAAGAATAGGCTTCCACAAATAAAAAAAAACTCACTTGAACATCAGGGCGACGGAGTCGTAGAGCTCGAGCAGGTCGGGCTTGAGTAGTAGTGGTAGCAGATTGGAGAAGGATGGTGGTAGACATGATGATGATGATGATGATTGTTTGGTTGATGATTGTGGAATGAGTATAATTAGATGTAAATCTTGGGGTATTATATAGTAGAAAGCAGATGTGGAGCACGTGATTATGCGAATAAGTACGCATTAAGGAATGTGATAATAGGTCAATGGCATCAGGCCATCTGGGATTTTAGTGCGCGGGACGATGGTGGATAAGATATTGAATGTGGAGGCATTAACGAGATAAAGGGGGGAGAGAGATATCTATTTTTCGATAATGCTATATTCTTCGTTTTCAGTACCGTCAGCTTGATAGCCCATCGTGCCCGGAAATGCTCAAGAAAGCTCTGTAACAATCGAGGACGCTGTGTTCTTGAGGGCCCCTCCGATCGCTGCGTTTTCCGGATGATACCCAGTATGTATCGATGTGAATGTGATCCACAATACACAGGTATTGTTGAAATATCGATGCGTTTATGTTTTTTAAAAATCCACTTTTAATATGAAATATCCAATTTCAGGTGAATTCTGCGAGAAGCACGTCCGGTTCCCCTGGTTCGCCATCGACAACAGCATCTACGGGCACGAGGACGAGGTGTTTGATGATGAGCCCCTCACGAACACCTTCTTCAAATAACCCTTGACCTGTTTTAGAAATTGTAGTTTGTAGTTTTCTTGCGCTGCTTCTCTTATTCGCCTCGATTTTTTGTGTTTCTTTTTGTGCAAATTTTAATCTACTCACCCCTCTATGCGACATTTCCCAATTAGGTAGCTTACTTCGCTTTGAAATTTCTCATTTTTGATTAATAAGCAATCTATAGCCCCTTCCTTAATGACCCAACTCAACTTTGCATTTAGAAGATCTCAGGACTAGATTGTGATTGCCTTCCCTGCACTTGGCGTCTCCAGAAACAAGCCGCTGATCTGGGGGCTAGGATTCATTATTTGTAACGTGTTGCGTGGGGCAAAAAAACGTAAATCTTTTTCAGCGTGCGAACGCGCTGGCCTAGACCCTTTCGAATGGCACAAAAATCATTTCGCTCGCCCCTGTTTCCGCCCCAGATCAAGCGCGTTGTTTCGCGGACTGTTTTTCGAGCTTTAGCAATCCCCCCGCACAGCCATTAACCGACCAAAAATGACCCCCGATTTTCGAGCTTGTGATGTCTCTATGTTGCTCGCGTTCTGTGATTTTTTTTGTGTACCCCGTAATAAATAACATTTAATAATGTTCGTTACCCGTAGGCATATATCTGATTAAATTTTTAAAAATGTAGGTGCTTTGGCGTTATCGCGGAAACAAGTTTTTCCTAAGAACTTAGATTTTTTTAATTTTAAATTCTAAATTCTTTCTAAACGCTTTTATTTGCTCTAAACGCAACGCTTTGGAATTTTAAAAATACAATAATTATAAAATTAATTAACATGAAATTACAAACAATAAATTTTCCGAACGAATTTTAAAATTTTGAATTTTTTATATAATTTTTGAATTGAATCGACTAGTTTTTAGTAACTTTTTGTAAAATTAAAAGCTTTTTACTATTAGAAATAGGAAGTTGACACGATGATTTGAGACGCTCAATGTAACGCGCTATTGTATTCTCTGTCATGAGAATTTTCGGAGGCTGAATAGAATTCTGGCTCGCTGGATGATCACGCCTTACCGGCCATCCAAAAGATCTTTTCCAACTTTGACTATAGCAAATTGACCACTTTTTTTGCAGTACTAATTTTACTCGAAAATAGCCTGGCTTAGCTGGATTTCCGCAATGGCATTTAGCATGCACCAATATTTCGCGGTGGCCGTCGGATTTGGCATTTTTCTCATGGCGACGTTGTATTTTGTAGGTATTTTCGTATTATTTAACGAATTTTAGGCCCCTAACTCTTCAATTATCTCTACAAAGAGCATTTCTATATCAGACGATACTAGATGGGAAGCGGTGATCGAGAAATATCATGTTTGCATGCAACGACACCCAAAATTGCGGACCCCGGACTCGGTAATCGTCTTAAAATTTTCGTTAATTAATAAATATGATTAATATGATGAGATATGCATATAATATATCGATTATAATGAACTTATTCGAGTTTTAATATTTTTTTAGACCTGGGCGGATGGATCCGGGCAGGCCGTGCGTGATTGCTATAAATTTGGGCCCAACATCATTTCTGTCGAGAATCAGGATGAAGCCAAAAGACTGATAGTAATGAATAATCCGGTACGTAGTAAATATAATTAAATAGGAACAATTTTTTACAGTTTATAGCTATAAAAGTAACAATGTAAGTTATTTTAAAAATTAGCCCCCGCCATGAAAGCTGGAATATTAAATGCATCTGTATTTAAAAGCCTATATATGTATAGCGTATACTAATTGAATTAAATGTACAAACGAATAGTAATTAAATGTGATGTATAATATGTATAAAGTCCTGAAAATCATCAAAATCGTGGGCCTTTTTTAGCGCGAAAACTGCACATTTGTCACTCTTGGTATTGGGAAGGACGCGATGGCTGAGGCCAAAGTAAAGGTATGCTAATTAAGTTTATAAAACCAGCTTTTCCTACTTTTATAGCGCATTTTCCTTACTATACAAAAATAGACAAACCTTTCAGGCAATGATGCCGAATTGTAAATTCTACGGCGCCGATCCAGTTTTGGAAGAAAACAAGGTCGTATATGAAAATGTAAAGATATTTGGGTTATTAATTATCCTTGAAAAGGTCGGTGAATACCATCAGTTGGCCATTTCCGGCAACAACATCGCAGATTCGAGTATATTAACAAAATGTAAGTATTTTATAGAGAAATCCCGATTTCCTCTTCTTTTCAGCCGGGTACCAAACGCGCAAAAAGATGCCGGCAATGCCGATGTATCAATTCTTTGCGGAAATCGTCAAATCGTAGAGCAAATTATGCTTTAATTAGCCTATTTGCTTTAGAAAAACAATAGATTACTTATTTGTCGATATCGAATACGCGGAATACGATTTATTCGATTATTTACAGGCTGGGAAAGCGCTGGAAAATGGATATACGATTTGTCAGGTTATTTTTGTAGCTAGGCGTACACTTGAAAAGCTCTACATTGTAATTTCAGATAAACCTTGAAGCTCACATTGCGCAAAATATAGAGCAGAAGGTTAAATACATGGAGTTTATCCGGAAATTAGTAAACGAAGGCCACTACGCGTTGGCATATGATGACAATACGATAGGGCATCATAGGTAGGTAGCAAATAAAATGTCCTATAGCACTAACTGCCTTCTCTATAAAATAATGTTACTATATGACAGTAAATTGCGCATTATATACAATGAAATAATACCAATTAACTTTCATACAATTGTGTATTCATCCCATGATTTAGGATCTTCTTCTACAACCACAGAGCTCCGGCATGTCGCAGAAAATTCATGCCATTTTCTTAGCATTTTGGGGTGTATTTTAAATATCGAAATCGATGAATCAAATGAACGAAATTTTGTACGATTTATACATCTGTATCTGGCTCAACTCTCGCGGCGCTTCTCGCGTTTCCACGACGAGAACGCCGCCTCGATATTCGGGTTCATTTGGGCGGAGAGGGACGATAATTTCCGGGATGCATCTGGCCGTTTCCGCATGCTTGCCGCCGTAGAATGGCGACGCGTGCGAGTCGTACTATTTGTGCGCTGGTCTGGAAAAGGGTTCTTTATATGGTTAAACGTGGCTTCAACACGCTGAAGCTTATTAAAATTTTTGTCCCGCTCTTTCGAGGGGGCTCCAAAAATTGTCAAATACTCAGTAATTGTTCGTGTGCACGGAAATCTTTTAGTAAAAAGGCGAAAGATTTTCTCGGTCAAATGCACACGAACCAGAGGTACTTCAGAGGAAAGGGGACAGACTAGGCGGGGACAGTGGACCAGGTGGGGGTGCTCGGGGTTGGGTTAGGGACGGGGTTAGAGAACGGACGAGCATGAGCAATGGCAATGAGCATAAAGGCAAGCCGAAACGCAGACCAAAGCTCGGGGGGACCCCGACTCAAAGTAACCCAGCGAGCGGAGCTTGAGCCTAAGCCTAGAGCCTAAACCTAAGCTTAAGCCTAAGCCAGCCTAGGCCGAAGCCTAAGCCTGAGCTCAAGCCTAAGCCTGAAGCCCGCTAAGCCCTGACTCAAGCCCAAGCCTGGGCCCTCCCCGATCCTAAGCCTAAGCCTGGGCTTCTAAGCCCTGAAGCCTAAGCCTAACCCTAAGGCTAGGCCTGAAGCCTGGCCTAAGCCTAAGCCTAAGCCCAAGCCTAAGCCTAAGGCTAAGCCTGGCCTAAGCCTAAGGCTGAAAGGCCTAAGCCCTGCCAAGCCTAAGCCTACGCCTAACCCCAACCCTAAGCCCAGGGCCTAAGCCTAAGCCCTAAGCTGGTCTCCGCCTGGGCCATCCTCACCCTAGCCTAAGCCCAAGCCCAAGCCTAAGCCTAAGCCTAATCCTAAGCCCAAGCTAAGCCTCAAGCCCAAGCCCACACCCTGCTCCAAGCCCAAGCCTGCTCAAGCCCACCTAAGCCCAAGCCTAAGCCTGCTTGCCTAGCTTCAAGCCTAGGGCCTAAGCCCAAGCCCAAGCCGCTTCCAAGCCTAAGCCCAAGCCTAAGCCTAAGCCTTTAAGCCAGCTAAGCCTAAGCCTAAGCCTGAGCCTAAGCCTAAGCAAACCTAAGCCTAAACCTAAGCTAACCTAAGCTTGAACCATCTACTTTTTAGCCTCTTGTACAGTAAGGAATCTTTTTGAATTCCTACCATAAACCGTTTTGCAACACACCTTTCTGCGCCCCAGCTGCCACTGAGGCTCTCCTCTCGAGCTCTTCTTCCATTTGGCGACTGGAGGTGGTGGTGGTGGTGGAAAGAGTGGAGCGGGCAGAGGCCAGGCTGGCACTCTTGTCGGCAGCTTCTAAAAACGTTAAGGTCAAAACAGAGCAGTGTGACGTCATGTGCCCCATTTCGTTCCAAGGTTAGGGTTGTTAATGTGTCCTGCTCGAGGAACCGCCATAGATTTTGTGTGGATGGCCAATGGGGAGGCCAGCTGTTTGGTTAGGGGCGTGGGGGTGAACGATGGGTTTTTGAGAGGCCTAGCAAAGTTCAAATCGTTTAAAGGGGACACCCAAGGTTTTGGAGGCAAATATATAGTTATGTATTCCGGCAAGTACAAATGACGCGCGAATTTTGTGTTCGGACACCTTTCCCTCTTGTGGCGTCCCCTCCTTCAATGGGTTGCCACTATGGCCTAATGGATAGCATCCAGGGCTTACACAAAACGGTGGTGTCGGGTTCGACCCCTCCCGCGGCATGGTTTTTGCTTTTGAGCCCCGAAAAGGTTGGGTATATGGAAAGCGTTATTAACGCACTACCAGGGTTGAAAAACCGTTTCGCAGCTTTTCAACCCTGGCCCCGTCCAGGACCGATGAAAGTCTTCAATTTGCATGCTTCTTCCCCCAAAATCTATCAGCAAAAAGGAAAAAAAGAAAAAAGAGAAAAACGGCTCCTCTGTCGCTTTACATAGGCTCTTCCTACTTCCGGCTTACTTCTTAATTATCCCCTATCCAACAGGGGGCGAGAATTTTACAAAAAACCTGTTTTTAATAGCGAAAACCGCCATTTTTCAAAGATTTTATGTGTGTGCAGTCGATTCCGGACCTTTTCTAAACCTATTGTCTGTTCTTCACTATCCGAAAACCCCTTCCCCGAGGCTGTAGGTGCGGAATCAGTTGTCTCACGGAAGTGCATGCAAATATGCACACACACACACAAGACACTATTTTTTTATATATAGTACGCTATTAAGGATTTTAACGCACCCTTGACACGCCACGCATTGTTGAATTTGGCTGTGGTTCAGCTACCCCCCTTTAGGGCAGCCGAAACCAAGCCACTGTATCTCGGCTATATTATTAGCTACAGCGCTGTAGAATACACCAAAATGCTCGCTAGTCCAAGACGAACAGTTTGGTATACTTTATCTCCCCGTAGCTCAACGGTTAGTCGCTATAGGAAATGTTGCGGGCTGGTTGGGGGATACTGACTGACACGTTTAGCGAAGGGACTTTAGCGCAACGCGACGCGTCACTCTGCGTTGCAAAGATCCCATAAGAAAAAAGAGCCAACGCTGGCTTTCTGGGCCCTTCGGGAATTTCAAATATTTCAGGATAGCCCGGTACAGCTAACCCCTTGGCCGAAGTACAGCAGAAAAAGTGTAGAATCCACCGTGAAAAGATATTCTGGTGCTTCTCCTCCAGTGGCCTGCCGATTTCTAATTTCCGCCTGTAGTTATAAGAGCTCAAAAAACGACAATTCGCGTTCAATAATGAAACTTTGGGCTGTTTAGTTAAGGTAATAGTAGCAGTGGAAATTTAAACTGCAAAGGTGCTAAGGGTTTTCCTAAAATTAGTGAATCACAGGAGAGGCCGGACGGGAATGTGGTAGTTAGATCAATAAAACAAATCAAAAGTAGCACAGCCGGTTTAAAAAAATCAAGAATTAGGAAAAAATGACCTGAATGTAGAACCTTCCTTATGGCTAAACTAATATTTTGGAATCAAACCCTGTCGATCAATGAGACTTCCAATGTGGTAAAGAAGTTAAAGTGACGTACTGTCTTGCAAGTACGTCCTCCTGAAATGGGCCACCGGACGGAAATGGTTTGCCCAGAAACCCCGGAAATCGAGCCACTACTACCTTTCCTCTGAGCGAGAGAACATGAGCTTATAGACCAGGACCGCTGGGCGGTTACCAGTTCAGCCATTACCCAATTGAACGCGGTAAGGTAAGCCGTAATATTATGGGGTTGTTGCTGGGGCACCAATGGCAGTTAGATCAATAAAACAAAATCAAAAAGTATACAGCCGGTTTTAAAAATCAAAGTTGGGAAGAAATGACCTTAAGGCGGAACTTCCCGCTGGTCAAACTAATATTTTTGGAATGAAACCCCGCCGACTGGGATGAGACTTCCAATGTGACAAAGAAGAAGCGGACGCAGGTTTGAAACGGTGGCAGCTGTCCTCCCTGAAATGGGCCACCGGACGGGAAATGGCTTGCCCAGAAACCCGCGGAAATTCGAGCCACTACCAGGCCTCTTTCTCTCTCGAGCGAGAGAACATGAGCCTCAGGATCAGGGATCGCTTTTTCGGGTGGGTTATCAAATAGTTCCAGCGACACTAACAACGCGGTAAGGTAAGTCAGTAAATATTATGGGGTTGTTGTTGGGGCACCGGAAGGGTTCATAGGTACCTGAAGCTGGGTGATGATTTTTGAGCACGAGCTGCGAACCTATGCTTGTAAGAACCCTTCTTTTCCCAAGCATCTAAGGTATCAGAGAGGTACCTTAAATCCAGAGCGATACTTGCAGCTGTTGTGGAGGATTTTGGGTACCTTGCGTTTTGGTCAACGGGCTTGTAAAAAAATTCCTTATTTTAAGCATCCAAGGTATCAGAAAAGTACCTTTAACCCAGAGACTCATCCATGAGCCTAAGCTACCATTCTGATACCTAAGATGGTTCGACTAGGTTTATCAGCCTAACGGATCGCGCAAGGCTTAGCTATAGATGCTTTTGGCTATGAATTTCTCAAATCTTCTAGTATGTTTTCTGACTTTTCCTCGCAGTTACCCGATTTTCGCTCAAATTTGCCCCCGCTCTCTCGAGGGGGCTCCAAAAATTGTGTAATACTCATAATTGTTCGTGTGCACGGAAATCTTTAGTAAAAGGCGAAAGATTTTCTCGGTCAAATGCACACGAACCAGAGGTAAAGAGGGAAGGGACGGGATAGGTGATTAGCGGGAACAGTGGGCCAGGTGGGGGGCAAGTGGGAGCGCACGTTTTGAGAAGAGCTACGCCCCCAGAACTTTCTCTAGTAACAGGCTAGTATCAAATAACGTCTAGAAACCAGGAAAAAAAAGAGTTTTTGGCAAGATTGAGCCTTTACCTAAAAATCAAGTAACTTTCCAATGAAGAGCCGTTAATTACAAAGATCTCAAAAATGTCCTTTAGCGGGATACGAAAAATAGCATTAATCATTCTATTTAAAATTTTTCCTTGAGAACCCAGACGTGGTGTTTTTTTTGAATGTTAATAATTTGCAAAGAGTTGTTATCATAATAACTTCTAAAAATAAATAGCATTTATTCACAGGACAAAGAAAAAAGGCAGCAGCCACGGGGAAATTATCACCAGCACCATAATAAGCGAAATGGCAAGATTGCAAAGGTCATAAAAATATAATAAAAAGGGCTAGCGTTATTAAAGGAGCGTGGGAAGGCAAGAAAAACATAAAACCGGGAATTAAGGCAACGCTGGCAACGGGTTCAAACTTTTTTTTCTGGCTACTTGAAAGTCCAATTGGAATGAGTCTTCAGAAAGTCATGTAGGGCTTATTTTTAGAAGAAAAACTTCTCCTTGCGGCCCCAGCGATGTCGCGACCGGATTCGCCTGAAAGCTGCGGGAATACATTGGCAGTGATGGGTGGGCATAATTTGGTTATAGGGTCCAGCAGACCAATAAGCTCTCACCTCTCTCTCCCTCTCTCTCTCTCTCTCTCTCTCTCTCTCTCTCTCTCTCTCAGTTGGCTAGACTGGACATAAATATTTGCATGGCCTGGGGGATGATGTTGGAGACTTATTAGATGACCTTCTGGAAAGGCTCGAAAAACATGCATCTGCGTCTAAAGGACGTAGAAAGCTTAAAAATCAACCATTTATAGGCTAGGTCTAGACTAAAAGCACGTCACTACAAAACACGGCAACTTCAAGGCTTTCAAAGAGTTGAGCGCAGCTAGTGAAGCCCAACGCTCCAACCTTTAGAAGAATCAAGAGAGAGAGAAGAGAGAGAGAGAGAGAGAGAGAGAGAGAGAGAGAGAGATACTTTGAAGAGATTTGCGACTCACAAATCCAGCGCAGCATCAATCTGAGCGGCCGCGGTTTTGGTGAGGGGTGGCCAATCAGCGTCCCTGGAATTATACAAAACCATACTGCACAATCTATATTGTAACGCTACGGTAGCGGCTTTAGAGGGATGGTACCAGCAAAAATATCATTAAAGGCAATACATCGCACCATATTTTTATTCGATTAAAATTTCACAGAATCTCCACTTGCTTCTTTCTCTACGGCGCATCCAGTTTGAATTTGAACGGAAGCTGCTCCGTTTGAAATTTTTAGGGAATCTTACGACCGTATTACCCAGTGGAACCTTCACTTTAAGGCCTACTTCAACTAGCAGAAGCCATGCCAAAAGCCAAACCTGCGATGCCTATGCAGGAACCTCTTGGGTGCGACCCATTCGTCGCATGGTCGCACGTTTCGCCCATCAACCGCCGATCCCATCAGGTCCATTTTGTCTCCATTCAACGTCACGTCCGCCACGCAACCGTCAAAGTTTGCGCGATGAAGACCGCCAGTCATGAATTTCAGGTCGGGGACGCCGCCTACAAAATTGAGCATTGAAAATGAATGAACCCTTATTTGAATGCTTGCCCCGCTCTCTCGAGGGGCTCCAAAAATTAGTGTAATACTCATAATTGTTCGTGTGCACGGAAATCTTTAGTAAAAGGCGAAAGATTTTCTCGGTCAAATGTACACGAACCAGAGGTACCTATAGGAAGAGGGAATGGTTGATTAGAAGGGACAGTGGGCCAGGTGGGTGGCGAGCGGGAAAAGGATCAGAGTATGTCACAACGGGGACTTGTTCATGTAATTTCTCCATTAAAAAGTTTTTAAATACAGTTTTATGAAACACTTACCAATATACAATTCATCAACATTCAACATCGCCAAAATCCCACTGCTACTTCCATTAACTGGAGGGAACTCGTCCACGAACAGGGCACCATCACGACCCTTTCGGATTGCCAAGACCTAGAAAAGCATTTTTCATGTAAATATCATGTATTTAATGCATTAGATATTCTTCACGATAATTAACACAAAATTTACATACATTATGCATCAACCCGTCATCAACCCGGAAAATGCTGACCGATCTCGCGGCGCCGCCCCCGAGCTCAGTAGCTATAATTCAGGTCCATTTTGCTTCAAAACTCACGCAAAAAACTAAGAAGCCGTCTCGGATGCCGATCGACACGTAGTCCTCGCCAACGAGGGGATTGGTCGGGGTTTTGACCTTGCCAGGAAGATTACCTAAAATTTACATATGGTTAAGATCGTGAGCTTAACGATCAAAGTATCTTAGTGATATTTTCGTTAATTAACGTTAAACTACCAAATAAATTGCTTGAAACAGCCTACCCCATTCATGCGGCTCGTCTTGAACTTGAACTCAATCAATCTCCTCAGGATCGCTGCTCTAAAATGATTTTTCGGGGGTCCGGGGGGGGGTTACCATTTAGGGCGGATTTATAACATATCAAAACTCGTTAAATCAAAAAACAACAAAATTTAGATACTTCTTACCAGATGCGGAAAATCGTCTCCAGCCATTTCGATAAACGCGTCACCATTAAACCTCGCGGCGTGTTCGATGGAAGCGGCCAAAAAACATGATTGGCTGTGTTATTTCTGGACGTGTTCTTTGGATAATCACAAATTCGGCCCGTCGAATTGATGGTGTTTGTTACCGCCTCGGAGTAACTCTCGTGGTTCAGCTGGCGGCAGACGCCGTTGACGCCGCAGCAGTGGTTAGCGCAAAGGTCGGGCCACCGGCGACCGCCGAAAACTGGGTATCAAAGGGGTAGCATCATTATAGAATTAAACCGGGTGCCTGCCTAGATTGCAGTATTTTTTTGCAATAATATTCGCTTTATTTATTTCTGAAAACCTGAATAGGCATCCACAGAGGGATCTGGATGGACGACTACCAACAGTCTTGGAGTGATTGTTTGGTAGAGAATTGATTAAAATTTATTTAAACTTAGTTAGCGTATCGGAATTGGGCTTGATTTTACGCTTTAGGATAGGTTTTTAATTCCACCAGACTGGCACACGTAACCTCTTCTCCGCTGAGCTCCCGCGCTGTTATCGTTGATCTGGCACCGGCAGCCGGGTTGACCATTCCGGTGTATCGGGTTGGGCAGCTTCTGTTGGTTCCAGTTCTTCGGGTTCTGCGTCCGGGTGCACGGTCTTTTCGCTCCAGACTTCGGGTGCGATTTCTTCAAAGTTAGAAATTGTTGAAAGGGAGGGCGGTGAGGAAAGGGAGGAGACAGAGACAGAGAGAGACAGAGAGAGGGGGAGAGAGAGAGAGAGAAAGAGAGAGGAGAGAGAGAGAGAGGAGAGAGAGAAGAGAGAGAGGGCGAGACGGAGAGAAGAGCGAAGAGAGATACAGAATAAGGATTTCTCCTCATTCTAACCTTCAGCCGGCTCCTACGGTGAAGTCACGACCTTGAGGGTACAATTATCGTAGTGCCCAACTCGTCCCTTTCTGCCGGGCCTAACTCCACGGCTGGTGGTGTGGGCTTAAAGAAGTCTCATTTGAAAGAGTCCAAATACTCACTCTTTGTGCAGGAAGTTCTTGAATCTCAGAATCCCGGCCAATAGAGTAGGGGGTGTTTTCCTCTTCCTCCTCCTCAGATTCTGGTTCTCTCGGCCTCGGGTTGACCGCCGGAAGGTCTTCGATTTCGATCTAAAACTAGTTTTTTAGGGCTAGAGATAGATAGATAGATAGATAGAGAGAGAGAGAGAGAGAGAGAGAGAGAGAGAATGGTTAGATGAGAGCGAGAAGGTAGGTAAAAAAACCCAAAAGCAGGTGGAAGAGTGGAGCTAAATTCCAAAGTTTACCTCCGGCTCCTGGTTACGATCGGAACGACTGTCATGAGGATGTGGCTATAAACATGGTGAAAAAGATGTCTTTTTCAATCATTACCGCAGGTTCCGGCTCCTGAGTTGTTTCATAATATTCCGCGCTTGCCGAGTATTCGGTGGACTTTGCTTTATCGGTGGGCAAAATGCGTGGCGCCTGAAAATGGAACAAATTTGCATAGCCAGCACAAAAATACGAGAAACATTCCGTAAATGGGTATTCTATATTTTGTATTAAGCACACTTACAGTGCCACTGGTTTTGCCCGTTTTTACCCAGGCTTTTAAACTCACAATTGTGGTGGTGCTCGTGGTTATCTCTGCAGGTTCCGGCACGATTTCTCGACCATCAGCACCGGTTTCAACGACTTCCGGCTAAACTTTGGCTATGGGAAATTTCTGGCTGAAAGACAACCTCAAGGTCAGCATTGGCATTCCGTAGTTCGTTTCCTCTTCCTCTTCGACATCTGGCATTGGTGTCGGAGCAATAGTGGCTTCTTCAGGAGCTTGCCAATCCGGGAATTCCCAATTTGGATCCTCTGATGGTTCGACGTCAGGGCGGATGTAGACGGTCTGAATGATTGCATCGAGTTCGCTAGTCATATCTGCCCTCCCACTCGCCCCACATCTGGCCCACTACCCCATCTAATCACCTCCAGCCCTCCCCTTCCCTCCTTACCTCTGGTTCGTGTGCATTTGTCCGAGAAAATCTTTCGCCTTTTACTAAAGATTTCCGTGCCCACGAACAATTAAGAGTATATATTAATTTTTTGAGCCCCCTCGAGAGAGCGGGGCAAAAATTGCGTCAAAAATACTTTTAAAGTTAACGTTTCGATCGATCGGTACCCGAACTTACATGCACCACTTCCTCTGTCGTTGTCACTTCCACTTTTGGTGTCGTTGGGGTTGGTCTTTCAGGGATTTTTGTAGTTGTAGGGCGAATCCTCGTTGTGGTGGTGGTAGTCGCCCTCTTGACATGATTATTATAATATACATTATTAAAATCAAGGCGTTTTCCTCGCCTAAAATACTTTAAGGTGGACAGACACACAAAGAAATTGCTATACCGTTGGCATAGGGGTGGGTTCCGGTTTCCCACGGCTCAAGCTCTGGTGGGCTGACCGTGGCTCGTTCTTCGTTGTCTTTGGACTCCTATATCGCAGTAGTGAGGTAAGTTATGGCTCTTGATTACTTTCTTATAGTATTACATTGTTCCTATTGTCCTTCCCCTCTTTTATTCAAGTAATCGATAACCGAAGTGCACTAACCTCTAGATTTTCGCGATCGGCTCCCGGTTTTACTGCCAGTCCGCATTGTTACAGATCTCCAGAAGAATAGCCTTCAGGCGCGGCAAAATCTACCATTCTACCGTTGATGACGAAGCTGAAGGTGGTAACTATCGATCTATGGGCTTTACCTCGCTGATTCAGCCCTCCATAAGGCTCGACAGCTGCTTGCTGGTGCTTCGGAATTCCGGGCGCCGACCCCCCACGAACAGATCAGTGCCGGGGCGGAATGAAGTGGAGCTCCTAAATCGCCGTGGTTGCCCGATATCACACTACGTGTACATACAAAAAAGTAGGTCATTGTTTTTCTGAAGGCGTACTAATTTCCTTCGACATACTTACAACGGTACGTGAGTGTACTCCATTCACAGACAATGTCGTTTTGTCTTCCACTCGCTGAACCTCGATGACATTCTCGACCCTCAGGATGCAGGGCAGCGATGGAGAATATGGTGGATTTTCCTAAACATTGTTGAGCGTTCACTTTTTGTCGTTATCGCTTTCCCGGGTTTCGCCGGGCGATTAGCGTTTCTTACTGTAACGAACTGCCCGGTTCTTGTAGATCAGTTGAATCTTATCGTCGACAATCCCGATATTCAGAACCCTTCAGCATCCACAGCATAAGACGAAGCCAGGAACAACAGCATCGACTCGTTCTTGGGCTCTCGTGGTGGGATGACCCTCATTGACACCTGAAAAAATCGATGGCGTTTTTTGAGCTTGATCTTACAGTGAAGTTCTCGACTTGAGTAGGAGCGGGAAGCGCGAGGAAAGCGTTGTCTCCGGAGGACGAGATGACCTTTGGGACTTCAGTGATCGTTTCGTCGCAGTATTGGCCCTAGAAATAAGTTAATATTTTGACATATGCCATAAAAGGCGTAAAAATAGTCGAAAGGACTTACAGTAGAGCCAGCTGAACAGATACAGCCAAGTAGTCCTGTTTCCTCGTTTTCCACGCACATCCCACCGTTGCAATCGTCTAAAAATGTTTAGGTAGGCTCAAGGCAAGAAATAGTAGATCTCTAAAATTTTATCAAAAAGCTAAATTCTAAGGTACCCAAGATTTAAGAATACTTACTATCCCCACAGGCCGCCGATCGGCGCGCTCGCGGAAATCGCCGGTGAACCGAATATCGCATTGGCAAATGTAGCCCTTGCCGACGTTAGCCGGGATGCAGTAGCCCCAAAAAGCACAATAAAATTATTTTTATTATATGACAGGACTCAGTAGATGATCATCTTGAACTCACCCCCGTTGAGGCAAGGCTCCGCTTGCAAGCATCGTACAGCGACACTTCCCCAATCCTTTTCCCCGTGCTCAAATCGAGGGTTCCCCATCGACAAGCACGCTGGAGATGACTCCTAAAGGTTTAAGGTATCGTTTCGTCCAGGTAAACTTACCCTTGTAATTCGAAGGTATCCTGGTCAAGTATTTCTGTTGAATCCCGCTGGTCCCTCCAATGTCCAGCGATACAGCTTCTTAGGGTAGATTCGAGGCTTCGCGTGCGTTTTGGAGACGATTCCACCATCATTGAGCTTCAGGGAAGCTAGAAGTTTATCTTCGTAAGCGTCAAAATATTCTCGTACCTTCCCGATCGGTGTTGGTAATTTGAATCTGGTTCCAATCATTCAGTCGAACACGTTTGGTGATTCAATTACTTCTAAAAAACAAAAAAGCAGTTAGAAAAGTCGTAAAGCTCTTAGACTCACCGACACCATGGCCAATATCGTGGGTGTACACAAATTTGCCGTCCTTTACCCCGCCGGCGTGGAAATTGGTCCTCGAACCGTGAGGGGTTGACCTTATCGGTGTAGAGGAAGAGGCTAGAGTTTTGGATACCTAACTGGCGGCAAGCGGAGGCAGAAGCTAAGCGTGGAACCAGCCCAAAGAACCAACCCTCGTTCGATTTTGGCTTAAAATTAACGCGTCAAGCTGCAGGTCGCCGAATTGATTATCGGTAACCGGAGGTAATTCGATCCAACTGGCTCCGTCGAAGTTTGGAACGAAGCCTAGAACGGGAATGCGGGGAGGACTTGCTAGGGACCGACTTGTCACTTTCAGATGCACTTCCGCCGTGGCGAGACTATCTGGGGTGCTGCGGGTATAAAGCCCGGCGTCTCCCGCGATGAACCGATGGGATTGAGAGGATACCTAAATTAAAAGATGCTTAAAAGGCCCCGACCGCCCCTCATCGCCCCTTTTGGGAGGGCCTTTTTATTTTTTGCCAATTTACCACCGGGCCTTGCGGGACGAGCCCTCATTCTTTCCCTCTATTTCGGCCCGATTTTGTTGCGCCCGTTTCTTTTTTAAACTACCATTTTTTTGACCCATTTTGAGCCCATTTTTGAAATCCTCACTCAATTTTAAATAGTTTAGGGTGTTAGCATCAAATTTGACCCAGAAACAGCCAACCTATTCCGAGGTGACAACGGGCAAGTAAATTTGCGCTCCCGTCCCCGGGGTGTAGGCCCCCGATTTTCGGGCCGTCACTCAATTTTGTATTTCCTTTCCAAGGCTCTACCGCTCAAGATCGGTCCCTCCCTGCGCTCTCTCTCTTTCTCTCTCACTCTCTCTCTCTCGCCTCTCTCTCTCTCGCTCTCTCCCCTTTCTCCACCTCTATCTACCTTCGCCTCAACGGGCATCTCCTTTCCATCAGCTCGTGTCCATTGAATCGGCGACTTCGGGTTCGGCTTGGTGTATGGGGCAGAATAAATGGGCCTTGAATTCCATCGTACGTTCGGACCCCAAATTCTACCTGTTGCCCATGCCACGCGTCATTTCGAGCGGTTCCGTTTGGAAGCCCACTGAAATTGGGAGCTCTAATTTGTCCTAGGCAAGGGCTGCTAAATCCATGCTGTCGCCGGGGTCACCACAAAATTCCACTCGAACTAATGAAATTCTAGCAGAGTATGGTAGCGGCATGCAGTAGGTGTCTTAAATTTGTGACTCTGTAATCGTTTTATGCCTAACCAGTGATGACTCGCAAGAATTGCACAGAGTTTCGACTTGAAAATTGGTAGACTGTGGAGGTTTGCGCTTGCGATTCTAACGACACAAAAACCACACTTGGAAAATCGCGCATCTGTGGCGAAATTAAACGTGTTATATCTCGGCTGCTTATCAAAACTTTCCTGCCATTTTTGGCGCGTGAGAAGTGCAAGCTCAAACTCTATAAGCCCACCAGTTTCAGATCGGAACTCGCGAACAGCCCTAGTCCAGAGTTTCCAAAGTGAAAAATTGGCCGGAAGTATAACGTTAATTAGATCCAGAGGCCGTTCCTGGATGGTTTAAACTGCTTTGTAGAATGTCGCATTTAAATCAAAACACGGCTGAAAATTTGTTTAAAATTCGCCCTTTCAAGGGCTTTCAAATTCTGGAACTATCGTACTGAACTGATACTTCTGCGCCGAGTAATAGCTGGTGCTATTTTACTGGGAGATCCTGTAAGTAAACTGTACGGTGTTTTTTGTATTTCTTAAGCCAATTCCCCCCAATTTCTCGACCTTTCTCATGCATACGGTAACTTACATGCAAATTACCACAGCACTCAAACTATCGAAACCTTTATTCCTCCAAACACGCAAGAAAAAGGAAACAGTCGACGGAGGGCAGGGGCGAAACGTTGGAATTAGCATGGGTTGGTCCACAGGATAAGTATTTTTAACGGGATACGGAATACTGTAGGCGATACTATGCTCGAGCACCAGATTGTTTGTTACGGTTGTTTTTGGCAGTATTTTGGCGGGAGTACGGGGGCCGGAAATGTCAGGGTTAGAAAAGGCGGCTAGGGGCGTTCGGGGGAGTGTAGCGTAGTTATGTCGTATCGCGATTGCATAAACGATCAACTATAAACTACAAACTACAACACTCCGGTACGCACCATACCACCGGTAGGGCTTTTGAATAAAATTTTGAGCCGCTGAAAAAATGTGAGCAATCATTAGTTGGCAGGTCGTTTAGAGGAGGGGTTTCTACGGAAGGGCAGGGTGTTCCATTATGGCACACGACAACGAAAATTCGACATTTTAGACTATAGACTACATGGGGCTAACTCTGTGTATGTTGAGCGATATGGAGACGAAGGCAAACCAGGGCACCGAGACGGACGGGGATAACCATGCGAGAATTAGCGATGAAGAAATGCGCGGCACAAACTACAAAAACGATAGGGACGCGCACGTGACTTTTTAGGGGGTTGCTAGGGTTTTAGAGAATTTGATGGACACTTTTTAGATAACGAGAACACCAGAATCTCTTAAACGCCTATAACACCCTTAAAGACCCTAAAAAGCGGCCATCTAATCGCGTCCACCAAACAAGTCACCGAAAAGCCCCCTCTCGAAGGCTTTCCGACGGCTCTCAGCGTCGCGCAGACGCAGCCCGGCGTCTTAGCGGCCCCGGCGCGCGTGCTTTCGCTTGCGTTTTGAGCCGATATTCAGCACGGTCTTCGCCTCGAGGGTGGCCGCTCCGGGTCTTGGCCACGCATTTGTAGGTTCCGCTGTTGTCCTCGCGCACGGCGGTGAATTGGAGGCGCTTTTCGGCGACCTGAAAACGTGGGTGTTATTGTGTTTTTCTAGTAGCGCTGAGGCAAGGTGGATTGGCCAAAACTCTGACACCGGGAGAGAGAGAGAGAGCCAGAGAGAGCGGGAGTGAGCGAGAGAGGAGAAGGGAAAACGCCTTGATCGAGCGTGAAATCCCTTACCTGAGCATTGTCGGGCAGAGAATCCTCTCCCTCCCGAACCCAGGTAACGTTGGCAGTGTCATCTCCAGTGACCTAAAAAATCGCATGCAATTTAAACAGCCTAGGTTTCATCAGCTTGAACAAATTCCCAGCCCAGGTTACAAAAAATAACCCACCTTGCAGTCGAACCACAGCCGATCTCCAACCTGCACGTTCTCGCTGGATGGCTCGAGCAGCACCTGGATGATGGTGTCCGGGACTAAAGTCCACTTTTAACCAGGCAGTGGGTTTTCTGATACCAGAAATCATGGCATCAACGTAGCCCTCGACGACGTGGTTATCGATGTTGACCTTGCAGACGTAGAGGCCGGCCGTGTCGTCATCAAAGTCCTTGATGCTGAAAAAGAACAACGAATATAAGGAGATTTGGTTCTAATAAGTTCTCCATTTGTTTAAGCGAGTATATTTGAACTCCAATTTTTTTAAAGACGGTCTGATGCTTTTCTGAAAGCTTACACAAGACGACTCTGGTTCTGCTGCACCTTGCTGGGCATATCACCGTCCTGGCGGCTCCATTCAACCTAAAAACATCACATAAATCTCCAGAAAAATCCATACCTTTGATCCGGGTACCGTGTACACGGGGCAGTTTAGCACCGCCTCGGCGTTCTCGTCAAACTTCATCTCGGCCGGTTCTAAAAAAAATCCAAGGTTTTCTTTTGAGAGTCTAATGCTTTTCTAAGCCTTAACACTTGCAGTTTCGCCCCAAGATCCCGTTTTTACAAAGGGAAATGACATCAGATTTGATTTAAAGGCTTAAGGTATCTAATCGTGAACTGCCGACTTTTCGCTGAATGTCCAATGGTGACGGCAGCGTAGGCGGCGCCGATGACTTGCGCGTTGTCGTCCTCGATTTCGCACTTGTAGACACCGTAGTCATTTCCAGCATCGGCTTGGGCGATGTGGAGCCGAGGGGTCTTGGCGAGGTTGCGGATGATCTGTCCTCCACGCAGCAGGTGCCACGCGAAGTGCTCGTTGCCCTTGGCTCCTGGAATGGACATGAGGGTAAGACAGTAGGGGTCGAAGCTAATTTTTTAGGTTCTGTGGATCAAAGTGGATGTCAATAAAACCGAGCAGGGAGGGTGCGCCAGGTATGCCTGTACAAAGGAGCATAGCGTAGCCGAGTTAGGACTACGCAGTGCTCCTCTGGGCACCCAGACCATGTGAGTGATCAGCAATTACAAGCTGTTAGACAAAATTCAAGCAATAAAAAGACACAACAACCACACTCAAACGTAACCGGACACCAAGTAAGTAACATGCTACAAACAATTTAGCACATGACTGCAAGCGTTTTGTGGTTTTTGCTACGCCGTTTTTTTGGGAGCTACGGTAGCTTTAAGTAAAAATTGTCTTTGTCCTGGGGACGTACAGCAGCTGGAATACCGACCACACCACCTCTGCACGACAATCACACGTGTTGGACGCCGCGTCTCGTACTCGCCCTCCACGTCGCACCAGTAGAACCCGGCTTGGTCGAGGCTGTATGGAAGCGAGTGTTAGTTATTGGAAAAAGCAAAATCAGAAATGTTAGCGTCGTTCTCTCTCTTTCTCTACCTCTCGCTCTAGTTAGGTCCTCTACCTTATCCGGTTAATATGCAAATATTCCTCTGTTGACACACCGATGACGTTCAGCCCATCTCTCGTGTAATACCACACAATGTCGGCCGGTCGGTGCGGGTTAGCGTGCGCTAAAGCGTTAGCTCAAACCAAAAAAAGAAACCACAGCAAAGTTAGTAAAGAAAAAAGGTGCAGCAATATCACCAGTAAGGTAATTCATAGGCTTAACGTACCCTCGACAGCGCAGTTCAGAACGATAGCGTCACCCTGAGTCACGACACGGACCCGGGGTGGGTCGATGGTAACCTAAAAGTTCGGTTTACCCACAGGATGAAAAATTTCTTACCCTGGCCTCCTCAACGTCCTCGCTGCTGGGGTGGACGTGGACGGTGGAGGTGGCGATGACCTCGCTTCCTCGGAATCCACTAAAATTGGATATTTTACAGCTTATAGGCTATGGAAAAGATAAAAACTGTTCTGAGAACCCACCGGCACTCGTACTCTCCAGCGTAGTTGGCCTTGAACGACGGGAAGTGGAGAACACCCTGCTCGTTGTGCTCCTCGACGTCTTGGGGCAGTTGGTCTTGCACCTGAAAATGGTGGTGATTTCGATAAAGTGTAATTCTAAGAACCCATTATCAAAATCTTACCCTAGACCACTCAATACGGTCGACAAGGTTAGATCCGGTGGCGGCACAGGTCAGCTCGGCCGGCTCGCCAAGGTCGAAGAGTTGCACGTTGCCACCGAGAACGGTTACCGTGGCGATCTTGGATGGTTCGACGACTGGAAAGGAAGCATTATGATCAGGATCTCTTGCCATTAATGCATGGATAGCTCTTGAAAAACCCCTGCCGCCTATTTCGTAAATCATTATAGATTTTTTGAGACCCCGATCCCATGCGAAGTTTTGCAGGAAGTCCTTTCGAGTATTTATTTTTAATTGGTTTTATTTAGACTTTTTTGTAACTTTGTTCCTTGTCGATTTCTGTATGTTCATACTGTTTTTAAATGTCTACTAAAATTAAACAATTTATTACAAGGCAACAACAATAAAAATACGTGTAAAGGTTTGTACCAAATCAGAAGTGGGAGACGATGAGTGAAAGAACGGTGGCAATGTAAGAACAACAAAATTGAGGATTTTTGATGAAAGATCGAAATTATGAAAATAAATAATCGAAAAGGAAGAGAATAATGATTCCAGAACCAAAACAATAAATTTAATTATATCCGCGTCGCTGTTTTATCAAGTCGTCAACATATCTCGTGTTCTCTCGATAGCTGCCCGCTGAATATAGTTAAATTTAGTGTTTTAACATAAAAAAGCGAAAAAATAGAAACAAAAATGGAAAAGCTAAATCAATCAAAAATAGAAAAGAACAAGGAAAATTAGCGAAACAAAGTACGGAGTCAAGGGGGTACCGTTTCGCTTTGGATATCTCTGCTCGCGTGCGGCTGAAATTTTGGTAACGGTTCAACGTAACGGCATTTTATTACCATCTTTAATCATCCCCTCGACCGTTCCTTTTGGGACTGTTTGCCCAGGGTATCGGCCTTGTTGCTTACCATAGCGATCGTCGTATCTATCTAAAGACGCGGTGATAAATTATGCCATGGCGAAGAGCAATACTAAAACCAGTATAAAAATCAATATAATGGAAAAAAATGAAAAAACAACATTAAAAATGAAAACAAACATGAAAAATCGGCAAAAAATAAATTCACGTAAAGGAAGTACCGTTTTGATTAGGATATCTCTGCTGATTTGCGGCTAAAATTTTGGTTATCGATGTACGAATAAGAGATTCTCACCATCGTTAAGCATTCCCTCAATGGTTCCTTTATTGACCTTTTGACCAGGATACCGGCCATTTTGGCTATCGCCATATGGGGGTTGGTAGGTATCTAAACATCAGGTCATGTGAGAATTGACCAAGTCTGTAATTTCTCTTAAGCTACCTACATTTATAAGTGGTCGTCTCCGGCCAGCGTGAATTTCCGTTTCGCTCATTCTCTCCTAAAAGCTCAAAAAACGCTTCGGCCTAACGTCGACCCATACGTTGTTGCTTTATTCGCTCCCATTCAAGCCTTTTTCGTTCTTGTTCGCGTTTGTAGAGGTCCTCTTCTTGCTTAATAGCGGCTTGGTCTCTTTCTAAAGCTCATGAAATTGATCCGTTGATTTTTACAGCTTACCCCATTGGCTCTGCGCCACGGGTTGTGTCCTCCTATCATACGGGTCTCGATATTGGTCTAAATTTTAAATTCCGGATTTTATGAGAAAAATTACAGCTCCTTCGGGCAGGTGTCTGATGAAAATCGGGCTCGGTATCTGCCGTCTCTGCTGAATCCACTGTTTTTCATAGCTCTCTTCGTAACAAACCCTCTGGCCTCTCCTCTGATACTGGCAGCTCGTAGGCTTCTTGTTGGTTCTCCGAATTTGATGCCAAAATGTCGTTTTCATCAGTAGTTTCAAGGGCTGGAGATGGAAATTAATTAACATCGGCCAATAGCGGTTAACTTACCAATTTGCTCCCCCTCGTATCCACCAGCTGTTTGATCTCCTTCAAAAAGGTTATCAACGTCAGAGATGGCAAAAATACCATTATAGGGAACATGCACATATCTGGGGTCGATGTATGGGCCAGCTTCTGGTTGTACCCCTTCAAGTTGACGTCCATATTCGTCTAGGTATACAAAATAGAGGCAATAAAGGGTGCAGATACCGTATTGGTATCGATCAGGTCGGAAAACAGGCCTAGGCCACCATGAGGGTCGATCGGTGACTAAGAATTACAAAAATTCATAGAACTAGGGTTGGAATTACCACATGGGGTCGTTGTGGTGGTGGTCTCGACCGGGTAGGTGACTGTAATAGATTCAGTTCTTTAAAGGAAAATAAAAAGAAGAACAAAACCAAAAATAACTTCGAAAGACAGATCAAGAAGAATTGAAAAAGAATCTGCCAAAAATTACCACAAGGAGTAGTGGTAGTGGTTGTTGGCCTTGGTGGAGGGTATTTGGGCTCGACTATAACAATGGCGTAGTTTAGAGAAGGAGCGCGAAATCAGGAAAATTAAGCTATGCTAATTTACCACACGGCGTTGTGGTGGTAGTTGTTGGTCTTGGTGGAGGGTATCTTGGCCAGGTTACTGCAACAAGGCGTAATTTATTAAAGCGCAAAGGAAATTCCGCCAAGACGAAATAAGCTAAATTTGGCCACCTGGTCTTAGGGTGGTAGTGGTCGGCTTCGGGGGAGGGTATCTTGGCTCGATGACTGTAAAAAGCGCGCAAATTAGAAGGAAGGGTAAGGAGACATTTGAACAGCAATAGTTGCGTTAAATTATTACCACATGGTGTCGTGGTGGTAGTGGTCGGTCTTGGGGGAGGGTACCGTGGCTCGGTCACTGTAACATGGGCGTAAGTTAGAAAAATAGAAATAAATTGAAGCAGGAAAGGTCTAATAAAATTTTCAGCACCTGGTGCTGCGGTGGTAGTGGTTGGTCGTGGGGGTGGTGGCCGGACTAAAGTAACGTTAAAATCATTTAAGGTATGGGAAAAATTGCAAAAAACCGTAACGATGAAAAAAAATCGATACTTGGTATTTGTGTGACCGGATATGGGACCGGGATGCGGATAATTTTCGGCGGGAATGCTGTAAATGTGGATTTTTAAAAGGGTCTGACAAAAAATGTCCAAAAGAACGGTGAAAATTGTAGAAATTACTTGGACACGGCGTCGTTTTCGGATACACGTAGATGTATTGGGGCTTGGCTAAAAAAATGCTATGCATTAAAAAAAACTTATATTTAGGTAAAGAAGAGTAGGAGAAGCATGAAAATAAGTATGAAACTATTACGGATTGGGCACGGTGTTGTGGTTGTAGTGGTAGTGGGGGGTGGTGGAGGTGGACGGGGTCGACGAGCTAATACGATGCTTTAGACTTCATCTACCTTCGCTTGTAATTCTTACGGAGCTCAGCTAAGCTACTGCAATTTTCGCGAAAACTTTGCTACAGATCTCTCCGCCTATCTGGGTTTTATAACGAGCGCGGAATGTACCTTTAAAGAGGAACCTTTGCTCTAAACTATACCCTGCTAGAAATAAATACAACGATTCAAGATAAATTTTACTGGTTGGGCGCCTTGTCGTAGTTGTGGGCCTGGGCGGGGGTGGTCTTGCTAAAAAAATCAAGTTCTCACAGAAATTTAAAGCCAAAAAAGATAAATGAAAGTAAAAAAATTACGGCGCTGTGTCGGCCGGATTGGGAATGGTGGGTCTAAAGTCTCGGTAAGAAAATCGCTCAAAAAAAATCCACCAGTCCAGCACGGCGTGGTGGTGGTAGTTGTGGAAGCGGGTCTTGGAGGTGGTCGAGGGGGAAGTGGCCGGAAGGCTGAATCATCAAAAGTACGGTAGAAAATCCACGATTTAGCCCCCAGCCCTTTGTTAATAAAAATTACTTATACAAGGAGTTGTCGTCGAAGTTGTTGTGGTGGGTGGGGGAGGTGGGGGACGGGCTAAACCTTTAAAATATACTAGATAGACCGTTTTTGAAGTGCAAAATGTAAAGTAAAAAGCCAGCAACAGGTAGGAAAATTTAAGTATAACTTCTGCAAAATAAGTATATTACGTCTACGTGTTGTCGTTGTTGTTGTAGTTGTGGGGGGAGCTAAGAAATAGCGTATCAAAATGCATAGAAAATCAAGTACGTGGTGGAGGTCGGCGTGGTCGGGACGTCACCCACAAAGGAGCTAAAAGAATGGTTTTCATAGTACAAACGTAATTTTCTAGGATTTTCACTGGACAAAAGGTATATTTACGTGTGATGCAAGGAGTGGTGGTGCTGGTGGTAGTGGTGGGAGGTGGAGGAGGCAGACGGGCTAAAGGAGCTGCGTTTTTTTAAATAGGCCGAAAGTATCGAAATCTACAAAAAAATAATGGAAAAGGAAAAGGAAGGAAAGGGAAATGGAAATCATATTTCATTACGTGTGGTATAGCACGGCGTCGTAGTAGTAGTGGTAGGCCTTGGGGGTGGTGCTAAAGGTAGGGGTTTACAAAGGTGTCCAGGCGGTAAGGTATCCCTAGTAAGAGTTACTGCTTTTCAAAAACGTAATAAAGGTAATATTTTCAGTAGCAAGAAAACTGTTTACGTCTGGGACGTCGTGTTGTCCGAATTGGCGGGTACCAGGTCACCGGCGGGCGAGTAACTTAAAAATGTGACAATTAGGGTGATTTCCACAATTTTACATGAAAGAGAAAAAGTAGAACAAAAATTGCATAGAACTAAGTTTAAAAATTTAAATAATCAGAAAATGCAAAATTCACTGACCCGGCCTCGGCGGCCACCTCGGGGTACTAGGTTCTAGAAAAGATCATTTTTAGGCGTGGAGATTTTAGCATACCATAACAAGGCGTTGTCGTGGTAGTAGTGGGCATAACTGGAATTTTTTGAGTTATAAACTTGATTGTGAAAATATGAGAAATTAAGGAAAAAAAACAGAAAAGCTAAAAACTAGAAAGGAGGTCCCGACCTGGCCACGCGGGGTACTTTGGATAGGCTAAAATAGGCAAGTGATCGAAAGATATTCCTAGAAATTACTGTAGCATGGGGTGGTAGTGGTGGTAGTGTACGTTTCCGGTTCTTCGTCAGCAAACGGATCTACCCTCTCTGGAAGAAACAAAAATAGCGTAGATTTCCCGGGGCAATATTACCATAGTTATATGTGGTGGTGGGAATTTCGACTGGATACTCATCTTCCGGTTCTTCCGGTTCTTCCGGCTCTTCCGGATAGGCTGAATTACAGGAGAAATTGGCTTTACAGAAAAATGTTTACTGTAGCAAGGCGTTGTCGTTGTTGTGGTCGGCACATGAATATCTTCTAAAATATAAGAGCTTCAAGGTGTCCAGCAAAATCGAGAGCGGGAAAAGACAAACGGCGAATATGAAAAAAAATCGGGTAAATTGATAAAAAAAATCGAAAACAGAAAATAAGAATGCCATGTATCTTTGTTTACTGTACCTTGTGGCGGGTCACCTGAATAAATAGAATTAAATATTTCAAGTTGAACCGAAAAATTAAATAAATTTAAAATTTGCGGAAAATTTGCAGAATAATAAAATAGAAAGGAAAAGCGAATTTTAAAAACAAAATTTTAATAGCGCAAAAGATAGCTTCTTACAATTCGGATCCGGTTGCACGGGCCACACTGGCCATTCAGGATATTCGACTAAAAGATTTTAATTACATTTCAGGACTTGAAAAGGTCTTAATGTATATGTTTTTAATGTCATAATTTACCAGTGTTGTTTAAAAAAACAACATTTTCAGTCATCTTGTTGCTCTGTAGATTTTACCGATTAATTGGTTTCTCCAAGCCATTTTTTTCATAAAATCTTCCGGATATCTGAGCTTCTCTTCTCAAAACAGCTAATATATTGCTAGTCTTAAAATACATCCACAAAAATCGACCCCATTCGACCTACCCTTGATGAAGATGTTCTTGGAGGCGGTGGCAAAGTCTGAGGTTCCCTTGCACGTGTACATGCCCGAGTTGCCGAGACCGATGGAGGGGTGGTGGAGGAACTGCTCGGAGATGGTGATCGGGACCCAGTCGTCGGGGAGGTCACCTCGCTCCGGTCCCGGGTCGTGCAGCCATTCGACCTGAAATCGAAAATTGTGTACGTTTTGAAAAATTTCGGAGTCAGTTGGGTCTTCGTCAGGAAATTGAAACATACTGATGGCTCGGGATCTCCTGGGGATCCAGTGGCGATACACTCGATCTTGACTTCCTGGCCGACGGTGACAACGATGGTGGTGCCAGGGGGGTTGGTGGTGACATGAAGGGTCGGGCCGATGAGGACGGTTCCGTGGTCGGAGGCTTCTCCCACCTAAAGATAGCGCAAAAGTAGTCACGCACGATTAGTTGAGTAATCTAGATGGCTCAAGGTATAACCGGCTTAAGTTACGTTCCTGGGATAATGCTTAGAGCGCATGAGGTCCTGGTGCACAAAGGAGCACAGCGTAGCTGGAAGTCGGCAACACTGCGTTCCTTTACACGCCCTGGCTCTGTGCGTTCAAAACAAAAAAATTTCCAGGCCAATTAGCTTTGAGCGATACGCTAAGATCAGATTTTCGTTGCGCGGTTTTTCGTTTCGATACGAAACTCACCGAGTTCCGGGCCGTGCACGTGTACTCTCCGTTCAACTCCGATCTGCCGTTGGCAAAGTCGAGCTTGTTGCCCTCCATCTCGGTGACGTCGTGGGCAAGCGGGGATCCATTGGGTCCGATCCAGGAGACCTGAAGATGAGAGTTAAAGGTCAAGCTCTTCAAAGCCCTACTTCAGGTGTCGGGTTTCCGGTGACTACGCAAGTGAACTGGTGGCGATCTCCGGGTTTGCCGTTCCAGACACGCGGGACGACGGTGGCCGTTGGGGGTTCTTCGACTAAAAAAAAGGCACATTTTATAGGGATGACATTTTTGTATAGAAATTATTCTTTCTGATTTTCAAAGGTTTATAGATAAATTTCCAGAGGCGAGATTCATGTCCCGTTTTTTTCGATGTTACTAGTTTCTAGTTATTGGATTTTGTTTGACGGGCTAAAGCTGGGAACAAACCCTCTGCAAGTGTATAAAAAGACAGGAAGAAACGGTGCCCACGACAGGGATAGAAAAATCATAAATAAAATTTCAAAGCCAAAAGCAAACCATCGGTAATCTCCATCCTAACAGGCGGTGCCTCGCCAGTTCCAAACTCGTTGGTGGCCGTGCAGATGTACTCTCCGATCGATTTCTCGTCGGCCGAGTTGATGACCAGATCATCTCCCTCCTGGGTGACATCACCGCGGAGTGGGCCGTTGGCTGACCCGAAGCCCCATCGGACCTTGGCCGGGGTGTCAGAGTTGGGGTTGCAGATGAAGCGCCCGGGGCTGCCGGGGGCTAGGCTGAGAAGTGGTGGGCTGGCCTCGGGTTTCGGCGGGTTGCCCTGGGCTAAAGAAAGGATAGGCTTAAAGACAGAGGTGTCGATAAGAAAGGGTGTAGCTGAACATGGGGAAAGTTGTTGGCAAGTAGATCAGCTTGCTGGGTAAAAGAAAAAAATTCAAGTTGCAGAACATTTAGAGGAAATCGTGCCCAGAATTTTAAATAGCTTGGACTGCTTGATTACTACTTTTATGTCTACGTTTCGATGCCTACAAAACTATTTTGATAAGAACTTACCAGCGGTGACCTCTAGTCTGGAGTTGTCGGATTCGATAGGTGAGCCGCCATTTTCAGGGTGGTAGATACAGTAGTACTTTCCGGCGTCGGCCTGTAATGTAATTTACAAGTTGTCAGTTTTATGCCAAAGTCCTTGCCTAAGTCAATCCGAAGCCTAAGCCTAAGCCTAGCCCAAGCCTAAGCCTAGGCCTAAGCCCAAGTCTAAGCCTAAGCTTAAACGTTCAGAACTTGATAAACGTGATAACACCACTTACCATAGTGGCGTCATCAATGTACAGAGTACCCTCGCGTTCGTTCGAGCTGTCCGGAAGCGGTCCACCGTCGCGTCTTCTGAACGTGAGACGAGCATCCGGCTTTCCTTGCACCCAACATCTAAAACTTGAGTTGATCATCAGGTATCTCAAGTTTCACCTGATGTTGGCCTTATCGTGCTCAGGCACTGTCTGGTGAGCCGGGTGGATCTCGACAATATCGGCATCTAAAAACACGGATGAAACACCGCTTTCTGGAAATGATAAAAGACTATGCGTGCATAAAACGAAGCGTGATTTTTGAGCTTTGAAAATCAAGATTTCACATTCCATTCCAAACCGTGCAAAATGCGGGAAATCTCAATAAATTAAATTCCGACTTCACGTCAGCGCAAAATTAATTTTTTGTGATTCACATCGCGTAGTGAAAAACATTATAATTTTGAAAAGATTATACAGAAATCCGTGCAGCTTTCAGGATTTCATAAATATTTTTTAAAACCCAGTCGACCTTCCAGCGGCAGCGCGTTGTCCTTGATGATGACGGCGGCGGGTTCGGAGTCGACAATCTCCCCAGAGTATGGGTCCTTTGCCGAGCAGATGTAGTCTCCGGCGTCGGTCATTTGAGCCTGAGGGACACGGAGGCTTCCGCTCTGCTCGAAGGAGTCGCGCGGTAGGTCGTCCTCAACCTTGCGCCACACCAGCTGGAAAAGGGTAGCGTGCAACGAAAAGGATATACGTCGGCCAGAGCTGCCCACGAAGGTTTATTAAGTGCTACGCGCGCGCTTATCTACGCCTGCGCCTCTCTCTCTCTCTAACACTCTCCCTCTCTCCCTCTCGCTCACTCTCTCAAGACTGAACCGCAGCGTCCCTAAGAAATTCCTACCATACCTTCAGGTGAGGATGTCCAGGCACGAAGCACCGGATGTAGAACGGCTCTCCAACCTCCTTCGTCTGTTCCTTTGGCTCAATCTCCACGACAATCTTGTCTAAAGCGGCACACCGTGCATGATAAATCGTTAGCATCAGGGTTTTGGGGTTGTTACTAGATCGATTGTAAGATCCGTAAAAATGGGGGATTTGACAGATCCAGAAAATCAGGCGTGCCAAACACGGGCACACAAATCAGGCACTTCAGGGCACTCAAAGCCTTTTGGATGCTTGCTTGCTGAGGTAGGAAAACGGAAAAACGGCGTCGGATCTACCTGGTCGCCTGACTTCAACCGTGGCGGGGACGGATTGGGGTGGTCCTCCATTTGGTGGGTAGGCCGTGCAGGTGTAGGTTCCGGCGTCCGCCTAGAAATACAGAGATTTAGGTGCCACCTACGTATCTTCGGAAAGTTAAGCCTAAGCTAAGCTAAGCCTAAGCAAATCCCAAGCGAAGCCTAAGCTAAGCCCAAGTCCCGCGCCGCATACCTTCTGGGTCCTCGAAATCGTCAGCTCTCCATTGCGCTCGCTGGCGTGTTGTGGCAGCGGGTCGCGCTCGTTCTTTGACCATCTGATTTCACTACCGTTAAAGGTACGAACTTATTTGCAAACCTGATCTGAGCATCCGGTTGTCCAGGGACGTAGCAACGGATTCGGGCCGGTTCGCCTTCATCGACCACCTGGTGTGGCGGGTCAACGACGGGGGCGGCTGGGGCTAAAATGGGGGAGTTATAAGCCGTAGGTTATGTGTTGAGTGCTAAGTTTTTTGCAGCATGGTCTTAAAGCGCAATTCAATGTTCGACCAGTACCAGGACTGATTTTCAAGGTATCAATTTTTAAGTGAACTAAAAATGCACACTTTTGCGCAAAAGAATAGATAGAAGGTGCGGACAGAGGAGAGGTCCATGCCAAAACGTACCTACGATTTTTGGAAACCTCACAAACCTCCTTGCTCAATCTGCGGTTGCACAAACTTCGGTGCCTGCACATTAATGCGTGCAAGGGGCGCCCGTTGGGGCTGGCCGTCCCTGGGGTTTGTGGCCGTGCACAGATAGTCGCCCTCGTCGCTTCCCCTGGTCTTTTGTATGGTCACGTAGCCGTCACGGACGATCGCTTGATCGTTGATAGGTTGCTGGTCGACGCGCGTCCATTGGACGATCGCGTCGGGCTGGCCGGGGACCCAGCAGCGGATCCGGGAGGGTGTTCCCTCATCTACGGTCTGCTCGATGGGCTCGACACGGGGTCCGGCAGGTGCTAGAAAACGTGCGCGTGCACAGGAAAGTCGGAAATGGGTGCATGCTGATTGTGGATAGGTTCTTGGTGGGTTTAAAGGGTCGTTGAAGACAAAATTCAACATATTTGATCCACTCGGCAGATCGATTTTCACAGAAATCTTGTCTTCTGCGGCCCTTTAAGACTCGTACTTCGTGTTTGACAAAGGATAGTGTGTTTTTTACTCGGAAATCGTGACAGAAGGCATAGAAATAAAACAAAAATCCTGCTAGGCTTTATTAATAACGACTGTAACTTTAAGTTCAAACCCCCGCAGGTAATTAATAATTTAAGCATTTAAAAATCAGCCATAAATATAAAGTATCTTCCAGCCCTACAAAACCAAAAACTATACGATTTTTAGTTTGTAGTAAAAAAACCCCCCAAAGAAACGCTAAAACTTACGAGGAGCACGGTTGATGTCGAGGGTAACCGGTCCCGAGTGGAGCGGACCATTCGTGGCCGGGTTATGAGTCTAAAATAAACATTACAAATTATGAAAAATTTCTAAGCTAAAGGGCCAGGAAAGGAACGGGGGATAGGCAAGAAAAGAAAGAAAGAGCCGATTCTAGCGTTTGATACTGTATTCACCCGATGGTAGCAGATAGCCTGAAAATTGGGAGAGGAGTTGGCAAATGAAAGTTGGGGCTCAGAATGAGAGGAAAAAGATAAATCATAATTATACGAACCTGGCAAATGTACTGCCCGATCTCTTCGGAGGTGGTGCGCGGGATCAGCAGGATGCCACCGCTGGATTGGGCGCCAGGTGGAAGGGGCAGGCCTCCGGGGCGGGTCCACTGAAAAAAATAGTTTTTTTGAGATTCGGAGTAATCTAGCAGAGATCTTTGGGGATTATACGGCGCGGAAAAACTAGAAAAAAGGGTCAGGCAAGCAGAGATGGGAAAGGGCAAAAGGCAAGCAAATGCTGCTAGCCTTGGAGAACAGACCTACTGATAAACCAGATGATTCAGGTTTGAGCTCTTTGAAAATGGGATAGAAGCAAGCAATAGACAGATTTGATACTTAGGTCAGAAATATGCGAATTGCATTTATCGATTCCAGGTTTTGAATCCTGAGTATGGGCAAGCAGCAAAGACCTTCTGAGCGACTCGGTGGGCAAGCCAAAGATTTGCTGGGGGGTTCGTGAGCAAGTGGCAGAGCGACCAGAGCGCTACTCAGGCAGGCGTTAGTAAAGATAATTGGCTAGGGGTACTAGCAGAAAAGATTTAGGAACCCAGTGATACTATTTTTTTCTGGTAGATATTTTCGAGTCATTAATTTCTGTAGACTAACGGCTAGAGGCAGGCTAGCGAAGACGGTTCAAAAATCCAAAAACCACTCACGATAAGCGGCAAATTGTTATATCCAGGTGTCCAGCACTTGAACCTCGCCGGGTCGTTCTCGTTGACGGTCTGATGCGGGGGGTCGACGCGGATTTGCACGGCTAAAATACGACATTTTTTGGGTTACTGTGGTTGTCCCAAACGTCATAAGCCCAAAAATGGATGAGTGATAATGCGACAACACTTCAAATTTTACGTTACAAAAAGACACACGTAAAAATAAAAATAAACTGAAATAAAATAAGGGCAAGCCGAAAACGGGGTAAGAAGCCGGGAGAAGCGGTAGTAGATGTCGATGTAGCGGTCAGACCGTCACCCGGGATTATTTCATACACACAAATGGCACTCGAAGTTGGTCGGGTTAAGGTATCTGGAGGGTACTTTAGATTTGGATTCACTAGACCGTGCTAAATTTGCATAGAACTACTTCTGAAAGGTATCTTTTGTACGTAACACAGTTTTTAATGGACTAGTTAAGGCCAGAACATACGATTTTTTTCGATATGGGTATCCTAAGCTACAGGCCGCGACACGCAACGCTTAACTTAGATTTTTTATTGCGTAACAAACGTTACTTGTCGCGTCGCGGTAAAACTTTTACGTTTGCCTTTCTATCTCCTTTAATTTTTCCAATTTTTCTTTTTAGAATTATTGGACAATCTACAGTACCTTCCTTTCTACCATCCCCCGACCATTTGTCTATTTTTTTTTGCATGCTTACGTCCGTATGGACAGTATTCGGGCCGGGGCGGGGCGGGTGGGCGCTGCGTGCGCGGGCCGCACTGCTTGCCACGCGGGCGTGGCGGCGGCGTCGTGGGCGCTAGAAGAAACCGAAAACCGTTGCGGGGCCACAAAATTGACAATTCAGAAGACGGACGTTGAAACAAGGAGGGACAACGACAACATGCGTGAAATCCCTAGAAAAAAGAACAAATTCTGGTGGCTTCAAAAAATTCCGAAAACCCGAAAAATCGGTCTCATCAGCTACGCAACAATACGGGAACCTTTTTGCTTATGAAATTTTGTGCAAAAAAAAGAGTCGTTGAAAAACTGCCCGAAAAATGATATGAAACCACATGCAATTTCTTAAAAAAAAATAAAAATCCGACGAAGGCAAAAATTTCAAGCAGAGGTTTTCGCAAACATCAAAAATTCTGCCGTTTCGGACCCTTTAGAGCGAATAGAAAGCGCAAAATTCGACTCCCACTAACCACTAAGGTTATACAAATCAACGGACTGCTAAAATAGGCCTATCTTTGTCAAAACATCAGTGATCAAAATCAAATTTACATGTTTTTTCGTAGAAAGTAGCTAGCTGTCCAGACCTAGCAGATTTAGGGAGTTGTTTCTAGATCTTCCTAGCCTATTCAGAGTCATTTTTTATATTGTGCCGAACCGTACAAGCTAGCTTTTGCCTTCCCAGCCCCTTTAAAACACAAACAAACACAAAAATGGTTCTCACGCGGGTACTCGCAATCCGGAACGTATGGCGGCGGGGTCTGGATGACCGGGTAGGGCGTCGGAGGCGGTGGTGGCGGGTGAGTCGGGTGTTTGCGGCTCGTGTCGCACTTCTTGGATGGGCGACGCGTCACTTGGGGTGGGACGTAAGGGGCCTGCGTCGGTTCGGCTGAAATATCGAACGCATGCATCATTCAGTACCAAATGCAGCCAACAAAACAAAACCATTCGGGATGTATCACTTAACTCAAAAAAACTATGTATTTTCCGTTCCAAGAACGTGCACTAATTTTTGTAGTATATTTTTCATGCTAAATACCATTTAACTTAAGCCTGAGCCTGAGCCTAAGCCTGAGTTTAAGCCTAAGTCTCGACCTAAGCTTAAGCCAGACTTAACCTCATTTTTCTCATGCATTATCCCCAGCAAACCTACGTCGCACAACGTTGACGATTGTATCGGGCGCGGTTCCGACGCCGTATTGCGTCGTAGCCGAGCACACGTAATTTCCGGCGTCCTTGAGCTGAGCCTGCGGGATTCGGAGCTGGTTTCCGGCTTGGTAAACTCCGTGCGGCAGAGGCCCTCCGACGTACTCCTTGTGCCAGTTGATCTGGCAGTCTGGGATGCCGGGCACATAGCATCTGAAAGAGCACATTGACCCCATTGAAAAATCACGAAAAAGGATCAGCGATAGCGTGACCGCGACGTTTCAAAAATGCGCACTTCACTTCAAAAATTTTTGTATTGTATAATTTTGTATTCTATATTTATAACTCTATGTAATTCCGCGAACCCTGTAATTAGGTTCACTGCGGACCGCAACGCAACAGCAACAGGACCGCGACACGTGAAAAAGGCTGGTTTAGTGCGCGTAGAAGCCCTTAAAAAATTTACCGGAAGCTAGCACTGTCTCCCTCATTGATCGTAACAACATTCGACGGGTCGACAACAGGTCGTGGGGCTTCGCCTAAAATTGTATAAATTGTAAAAGTATTTAAATTCAAGCTAGTCGTGCTCTGTGCAGATCCCGACAGATCGGGGCCGGAAAAATCGCATTTTCCTTGGCCGATCACCTGTTTTAAGCTGTGCTATCGGCCTAATTGTGGGGTAATATGTTCTCAGGAATTTTTCTTTTGGGATCGAAGGGGCCGAGAAGGTAATTTTTTTGAAAAAATTTAAGCAATTTCGGCGCCACAAGCACCTCTTTACAAATCCAATGTTTGAATAAGGGTAAACTGTTTTTCCAGTCCCTTTAACACCAAAAAACAATGGTTAGTAAAGCGCATTTCGGGGGTTAGTTTCTTGCGTATCCTGGCGAAGACTACGCGACACTCCACACAACACCGACTCGGGGCCGAGGTGGCTGGGGGCTCCTGGCGGCGCTCCTCGGGGGGCGTCTGCGGCGGGTACGGGGTCGTGTACACCGGCTCGAATGGGCGGTGACGCGCTGAATTACATGGGAGGTATTTATGATTGGCATGCAATGGGAATTGGTGATACTTTAAATCGGAGTATACAATCTTTTGAGATCTTAACATCTTTTTATGCTCCTGAAGTTACAAAAATTTACATAAAACAATTAATTTAGTGACGTCAAAAGCGTAAGTCACTCATTTAGTAGTTTCCAGTTAATTTTCACTCGTTATTGGTTTTCTTTTATAGGTATAGCGATTAATTTAGTGATTTCAAAATCATACATCACTTTTTTCGGTATTTTCACTCCTTATTAGCTTTATTATGAATATTAATATGTTTTTAAGGGCATTTTAGTGATTTTTGATGAGTTCAGGCTTGACGTTTTTGCGCGTTATTTTGATTATTTTTCTAATGAATTTGAAGATGCAAATGACGGTATTACAGCCTGAATTTAACCCGTGACTCCCTTAAAATCAAAGCCCTGTTAAAAGCGCACTCGTCTGCACGTAATCCGTGGCCACATCCAGGTGCGCGTCGTCGCTGGCGTATTTCGTGGAGGTGTACGCCTTACACCTGTAGACGCCGAGGTCAGCAGGCCCCACAACGGGCAGTGTTAGCCTTCCCCTTCCATCATCCTCCGCGCCGTCGGGCAGGATACTGTAGCCGACGCGTTGCCACTCGAAGATCACCGGCTCGAGCGGCTGCAAAAGCTGGTTAGTGGGGGTAAGGTGGTAGCGTAGATTATAGTTATTTTCGACAAAAAGCCTTGGTAAATTCGTAAATTAATCCGAATGGAGCTTAAAACGTTAAAAATTGAGAATTTGCTAAAAACCTGAATTATAAAGCAAAAACTTAATTTTTTTTCAAAATATGCAATCCTAAGCTATTAGATTATGCCATGAAATTACTGAATCACGCCATGAAATTACATGTACATTTTCAATTACGCTATGAAATTGTTCAGAGAGAATCGGAAATTATTCGATTACGCTATGAAACTTAGAATCTGCTAAAGAATAGATTATATTTTGAAAACATTAAACTATGCCAGGAGACGATTCGGTTACACCATGAAATTATTCGATTACGATAGGAAATTAATAGGCTACGCGGCGAATTTAATTACCATAATCAGTCGGGTATGGTTTAACCAATTACCATATGAAATTAATTGATTATGGCGTGAAATTAATCGATTACGTCATCTAACTGAGCATTATTTTCTAAAAGCCTAGTATGCTATGTTAATAGCCGTTTTAATAGGGTAAATTGCACACCAGCTTGGAGACGACTTGGCAGTACCACTCGACCCGCTCGCCGATCTGCACCGCCTGGTGCTTGGGCTCGAGGATCTGCACGCGAAGCAGTGCTAAAATCCGGGTTACTGTAGCCAACCAAAATCGGATCAGTATTAAAGATTTTTAGGACTTTTTAGTACGCTCTGGATTACTGTTGGTACCCGCAAATTAGTGACACTCTAAAAACATAAAACATGAAAATGTGACTTGTTGGTAAAGACAGACGTGTAAAAAACCCTATTTTTAATTTTTTAATTGTTTTAATTTTCGATACCTTAAAACAATTTATGTGAAAAAATTCATTATGGAAATATATAGGCAAAACTCGATAAAAATTTAATTTTAATGAAAAAATATTTATGTCATTTTTAACTTTTTGTTAAAATCCGTATCTTTTTCTTGATCGTTAGTAAATGATTATCAAAATTAAAAATAGCTTTCAGTAATTTTTTTAAAATGAAATTAACTTTTTTTGCGTGATTCTGTGAACGTGAAATAAAAATAATCACCCAAAAACCCCTAAAATTACACATAAAACGGTGTGAGACGTGAACGTGAGACCTGAACGGCGGGAACACAAAATTGCCCAAGAATAGCAAAACATTTATTTTGTGAAGCCCGAGAAAGCAAAAAAAAAGTAAAAGACACACAAACAAACTCTCCGCGGGAAGGCGTTGGTGAGAAATATAAAAAGAATAAAAAATGGAGCAAAATTCAACTTTGCGAAAAAGTGACAGTGTTGTGGGTGGGTGGGTGGTGGCAGTTTTTCAGGATTTTTTCGAGGACTTTCTAAAGGCCTAAATTCTTAGAAAAATTTTTGGCATGTTTTAGAATATGGGGGTTTGAAAGGGATGGGTAAGGCGTGGTTATGGATTTTGTCGTCTATGGGTTTTCTATCGAAGCCTAAGCTAAGCTTAAGCCGAAGCCTAAGCTTAAGCCGAAGCCTAAGCTTAAGCCTAAGCCAGGTCGAGGCCAAGCCCAGATCTAAGCTTAAGCGTAACCATAAGCCGAAGCCTAAGCCTAAGCCTAAGCCTAACCTAAGCCTAAGCCTAAGCCTAAGCCTAAGCCTAAGCCTAAGCCTAAGCCTAAGCCTAAGCCGAAGCCTAAGCCTAAGCCTAAGCCTAAGCCTAAGCCGAAGCCTAAGCCTAAGCCTAAGCCTAAGCCTAAGCCTAAGCCTCAGCCTAAGCCTAAACCTAAGCCTAAGCCTAAGCCTAAACCTAAGCGTGGGCCTAAACCTAAGATAGATTCCATAGAAAAACCATAGCCAACAAAATTCCATACCCATGCACTCTCAGTCCCCTTAAAACGGCAAAATAACAGACGGCAGTGTTGATTTACGCTGATTCCGCTACTTTCCAGTGGACAGTGTGGAAACCGACGGCAACACACACAAAAAAGAGAAAAACAAGCGAAAACGGGACATTTTTCCGAAAAGTGGACAAGGACGGGACATTTTCCGGGGGCTTTGAGATACTGTAGATCAGTGCTTGTCATGAGAATTTTCTGCGGGTTTTTTTGGGGCGTTCTTTAAGGGGTTGGCGCACCGGAAATGATTTAGTTTTGGGTTTTCTTGTTGCTTGGTTGGACAGAAAAGACAAAAACAAAAAGTTTTGCAGGCTGTTTTTCCACCGTAAGCCACAAAAATCAGATTTTTAGTCATTTCCTGAGCACCACCAAAAACACGCCCCCAAAAACGCAGCTACACTACGCGCTGCGCCTATTGACGCGCCTTGGCGAAACGCGAGCGGACGCGGACACGGCGTTTCCGCCCGGACACGACGAGACGCGTGCGGCTGGCTGGTTGGGGCTGTTGTTGCTGCTGTTGTTGGGCCCTGGGGGCGGGGGTTTGCGCGGCGCGGGGGGCTTCCGCGACCCGGCTGGCAGCTGCGGCAGCTGCCTGGCGGCCGCGATTTTGCTCACCATCGGGGGCGGGGATAAATTCGATGTGGTCGGACTTGATCTCGCCGATCGGGATGCAACGGCGGCCGTCTTGTTTCGTGTTCGGGGTGTAGCCGGGGGCACATCTGGAATTTGGGGGTTAACGGCATTATAAAACACTGATTTTCAAGCTTATCAGCTAAATTAAAATTCAATAAATTAATTTAAATGTTTCAAGAAAAAAGCGGAGAAGAAAACTAGCAACTTTACGGTCCTCAACTTACAACGTAGGATAGTAATCCTCGCAGTAATTGAAAGCTGGGTTTCTAGAAATTAATGGCCATAGATCGTAGCTTATGCTTGGAATTAAGGTTCCGCTAGATGCCATGGCAATAGAGGAATGGTAAGTAATAACATAGAATTTTTTAACAACTTACTCTTCGCAGGTTCTGCCAGTCAGACCGGCTGGGCAGATACGGCAGGCGACCTGGCCCTGAGAGTCGAGGTAGCAGTCGGAGGCACCACTGAAAGGTATGTGTTAGCGTTGTACTCTCTCTATCAATCGCTCTTTTTCTCGCTCTCTTGCTCTTTCTCTCTCTCTTTCTCTCTCTCTCTCTCGCTCTTTAACTTACGGGCACGGGCAAGGAGTACAGTCATCGGGTCGTCCACGGGTGGCATCACCGTAGTAACCCTTCTTGCAACGTTCACAGTGGACACCCTCGGTGTTGTGCTCGCATTGCTAAAACGTTAAACTTCAACCCAAGCCTCCAAACCCCACCAGACAACGTCCGAAGGAGTCACAGCCTCTCGGGGAGTGGTTGTTGCACTGACACGGTGGCTTGGTGGCAGCGGGCTGGCAGTCGAATGGTGTTCCACGGCGGGCGTCACCCACAAATCCGGGCTTGCACCTCTCGCACCTGTCACCCTCGGTGTTGTGCTGGCAGTCGACGCAGAAGCCGTATTCCTAGAAAGTTTGATTGGAGTTGTTCAGTGACAATAAATTGTCAAGGCGGCCAAACCGTTAGGTGACACTACGCACCTTATCACATTGTCCGGCGTGTCCGTTGCACTCGCACTTCTCGCAGCGGCCAAGGTAGAGGCCACCGCCAGTTCGGGCGTATCCGGGGGCGCAGTCCTCGCACGAGGTGCCGACGTAGCCGGCCGGGCACGAGCACTGTTCAACCTGAAATCGATCGTTGTAAATTTCTAAGGTAAGCCTAAGCCTAAGCCTAAGCCTAAGCCTAAGCCTGAGCCTAGCAACAACTCTAACCTACCTCGAGGGCTGGCTGTCCATTTCCTCCGTACGCCTCGGCGTACTCGAAGTTAACCGACGAGAGCGAGGAGGCGCCGTTCGGGTCATCGTTGTAGGTGGCCTAAAATCGTTGAGTCAGCTTTGCGCGAGAAGGTCATCAACATTGTCACTTCGTCAAGAATTGAACCTAACTATTATACTGACCTTGATCAAAATCGTGTCCAAGTCAGCGAGGGCCATCATCAGATGCTCGCGCCCGACGGGTTCACCATCTTCGCGCGTCCAGCGGTCTTCGAAGAGCTAAAAAATTGGTAGGTAATTTTTAGTGGAGTTTTCGCGCACCTTGACCTCAACGGCATTTTCAGATCCAGCAGTCGGGGTGAGTTGGGCACGGTGGTAGATGGCGATGTCGTTTCCGCGCAGGACCACGTCTTGGTCTTGGTTGGGGGTGCCGTAGCCGTCGAACTTCACGACGTACTTCAGGGTGCCACCGTAGGCGGTTACCTAGAAACGGTCAGGTAAGGACAAAGAGAGAGGGTAAGAGAGAGGAAGAGATAGATCCCCCTACCCACCTTGTTGCCGGCAAACTTCTCCGGCAGCTTCCAGTACAACGTCTGTCCTCGCGATTCGGCGAATCCATTGAAGCGAATCTCAGATCCAGTGATCTGGGCGGGGTCCCGAGGCGAGAATGGCTGGTGGACATCCTTCGAGGTGATCGCCAGCTGATCGCGATCCCCACGGCCATAGTCGATGGTCTCCGACTTGCGCTGGTAGCTCGAGGCCTTAAGGTATTTTTTACATGATGACGGTAACATCATACCTGGCATTGCTTGGTGATGCCCATGCAGAAGCAGGGGATGCATCCCTTCGGGTTTTGGGGCGACAGATGGAAGGAGTTGGCGGTGCACTGGTCGCAGTTGGGGCCTGGAATTCAGGTTACTTGAGGGCTTGGATGTCCTCAAGAATTTCTGCTGGTTTTCCGAGGACATGTTGGAATTCCGCAAATTGCAACTGCTAGGCTGCCCTAGTTTCGGGAAAAGGCAACAGGCTGTCTCCGATAGCCTCCACTGTCTCGAAAATCCTTAAATGGTCTCTGCTAGCCTGCCCTTTCCGATCAAAACTTCAAAAATGGTCTCTGCAAGCCTGCTTTGCGTATCAAGCCCGTAAAGGATCTCTACTGTCTGCTCTCATCGATCGTGGTCCCAAATAAACTCTGCTAGCCTCCCTGCCTGCTTTTGAAGGGTTGCTGCTATCTTTTTTAGAAAGTTTTCATGGTGTCTCTGCTAGCCTACCCTGCCTAGAATTTGTTGAATGGTGTAGAAAATTTTTAAGGAGTCTTTTCTGGGCCGCACTCGCGTAGGATTTTCTCAAAGATTCTTCTCGGCTTGTCGTCCTCTGGATAATCCCAAAGAATTACTGCTAATTTGCCTAGCAGAAGCCTAGCCAAAGTGTCTCCACTAGCTTGCCCTATATAACAATGTTATTTTAATCTACTGAAAGCTACAAACTCTACATACCAGTAGCGAATTCTTTGCATTGGCATTGTCCGTTGTGACCCTGGGCGCTGACGGCTCCGGCCGTGTTGCAACGGGCAGCCGGTGGGGGCCTAAATATCGTTATTAACTCCCAAAAATAAAATCTCCGATTTTGTGGACATGTGCAAGGAACCAATTTCCAAAAATAAAATCCAAATAAAATTCATTGGGGTGGCGGGTATCCTGGGGGGGATCTTGAGTGCTACCGTTTTTTGAGATGAAAACTTACTCATACGGATAGTAATAATTGTAGGGGCTGAAAATGGGCATGAATTTTTGCGGTTGCTTACAGGTTACGGTAGATTACACGCAACATACCTAGAGACGGGTACGCAAGTGCCAAGGTACGGTCCGCTGCCGGAGCGCTCGTAGCCGGGGGCGCAGTCCTCGCACGAGGTGCCAGAGTAGCCGGGCGGGCATTGGCATTGTTCGACCTGGAAATGAGGCAAATGAGGATGGGTTAGATAAGCCTAAGCCTAAGCTAAAACCTAAGCCGAAGAGTAAGTCAAAGCAAGCCTAAGCTAAGCCTAAGCTAAGCCTAAGCTAAGCCTAAGCTAAGCCTAAGCTAAGCCTAAGCTAAGCCTAAGCTAAGCCTAAGCTAAGCCTAAGCTAAGCCCAAGCTAAGCCTAAGCTAAGCCTAAGCCTAAGCCTAAGCCAAACCTAAGCCTAAGCTTCAAAACCTGAACTTACCTCCAAAGCGCGTCCGTCAGCGGTGGTGCGCTCGGTGGCAACCTCCCAGGAGACACGGCCGAGGCTGAAAAATCAAAAAAAAATTTTTTTGAAAATTTTAGATGATATTAAGGGATCGTATACCAGGAATTCTTTTGTATTTTTCAGAGCGTTAGAGTTCAATTTTCTGGCTTTTATTTCTCGTTAAACCATCTTCTTGTGCATATTTTTTTGTAATCTATCACTCGAAAAATTAGATGCTTTTCCCTATAAATATTCAGGAGGATTTAAATTCCTAAAAATGCCCGAATCCAAACCAATTTTTTGTCGAAAAAATCCCAGTTTCCACGCTTTTTCAAATTCCCCTTACATTTTTTTTTGCTTTTTCGCTTCCCCTCCCTGCAGATCCAAAATTTTGGAGTCGTCTGTAGTCTCGCGATTTCCCGGGCACTCACAAAGTGATGTGAGTCTCGGCGGCCACCTCCAAACCCCCCAATTTCCCATGGCAATTTACTAATTGATGGGCCCCTCCTCACGAGTTGTGAATTCTATCTGTCTGTCTTGTCGTGTTTGTCTTGCTGTCCGTTTGTCTGTCCATTCGCTTCTCTCTATCCGTTAATAGGTGTGTAGAGTACAGGAGGGTAGAGGGAATGGGGAGGGCCTCTCTATTCCCTCACAGGATCCCCGGGGCAACCATTCCACCTTCTTCTTCTTCTCTTCTTTTTTCCTTTTTCAGCTGAGGAAATAAGAAGTTGAGTGAAGAAGAGGCCCGCCCACTCTCCAGATACACACACAAATACATCATATCTACGAAATTTATATACCAAGATCTCGATTTTATAGGCTACACGTTCCCACGTGGTCCCAATTTTTGCGTGGACCAATGAAACGGATGGCCTGAGGAAGCGAAGAAAAGGTGAGCCGACTAATTTATGTATCGAAAAAAAATCACGACATTCCAAGTTTGGATAATAAGATTATTATAATTGTAATAAGATATATAATCAGATTTAATGCTCTAACTACAATAATTTTGCTATTTTTAGTAAGTCTGTGCCATGCTAAAAAAGCTTGTTTAATTGAAATAAACGATATAACGTCTAAAATCTTTGATTAATGCTTATCAAACGTGATCCCTTAACTAGTACCGAAAGATCCCTTAGATTTTATTGTTGAGTTGAAATTTCTGACTGATTCAACATGTTACTCTCCCTTTAAAATTGCTTTACTTATCTTGCCGCTACGTTGCGTTTTGTTAACTTACCTTACAGCTAGGTAACGCACGAACGCACAAGATACGAGACGCTACGCTGCGTTACTTTACGCTATCTTGCGTTACGTTACGCTAGGTTGAGTTACGTTGCGCGACGTTGCGTTACGTTATGCTAGGCTACGTTACGCTACGAAAGAACGTTGCTGTCGGCCTTGCGGTCGTTTTCTAGTTGTTCGTCATCAAATAATACAAAAATTCAATAAATTTTTAAAGAAATGCGTTAAGTATTTTCTCGGATTTTTTGGCTCCTTCCGGCCCGACACCGCGACACACGACGCGTACGTTATTTACTCCCCTCAAGGGCAATGCATTACGCATTAGAATGGGGTTGGCGTGTTGCGTGTCGCGAGTTATGAAAAATCTGACACAATGGTCAAGTTTCGTCAAGAATTCATACGAGAATTTTTTCAGAGCAACATTACGCTCAGAGTAGGTCCCCAGCTCGCTCCCACGCTTTTTCCAAAAGCTCGAGATCTTTCTCTTTTTACATATAAGTACGTCTGGCGCCACCTTAACACAATGCGATCCCACCCGTCTAGGTCCCACCCGTCCGCCGGCCTCAGAATTTCTGATTAAATTCAAGCGGGCGGCACCCGAGCTATTGGTCTTGTTGTGAGGGCACATTCTCCGACCTCTTGAGCCCAGAGCAGCGCCAAGAATAGATGGATTTCTGAGGTCTTTTTTGGGGGCCCATTCTCCCATCTCTCCATCCAATCGGCCCCGTAATTAGGCTCGTCAGCTTCATCTGACCGGTTCTTTTTGGAAGGCAGGTGCTTGGTACGTCGTTTCGGCTAATTGGGGCTTCCGCCTGTTTTTTTTTACTGGTTCTACTGTTCGCGCCAGACGCTCAGAAATTGTCAGAATTTTTATTGAAGCTCCAGAGAACATTTTCGTGACTTTTACGGGTGTTTTAAAGGTGGTGTGACAGCTGGGATTTAAAGAAAAATTCAGCGAAAATTTTTGAGGTTTTTTCTATGCTGTTTTGTCATATTTAGCCTAGTTTTATGCCCCACTCACCTTCGAATAGGTCAGCTACCCCGTTTTCGAAAACAATGAGCCTGGATACGACCATTTTCGGTCCCGAAATTCGCCGTAAAATGTCAGAAATATAGCCTCGAGAAAATACGATTTACAGTCTTGAATTTGCAAAATTAGGGTCACTTGGGACACAGAAAAAAATTCGTAAAGTTCCATTTGGCCTTTGGTAATCCTTGGAAAGTAAGGATATCTCCCACTCTCTCTCTCTTTCTCTCTCTCTCTCTCTCTCTTTTTCTCTCTCTCTCACCCTCTCTCTCTGTCTCTGTACGCGCTTCGGGAAAGACAAATCTAAACCTTCCAATCTTGTGACCAAATTTGATAAGTTACAGATGTTCGCCCCATTCAAATCTACAACATGCTACATCTGCCTCTCCCCCTACCGCCATCGAAATTTGCACTCGGAGCGGTTACGGTAAGCCAGTCCAACGCCCAGAATTTACTGCTACTACCCCCAGGGAGAAAATCGTATTCATGACGCCCTTCGAAATGGAGCTGCTGCCCGAGCTGTGGAAGAATGTCATCCAGCGGGTACGCACTTTCCGGATTTTGGGATTTTGGGGAAGGGACCAGCCGGCGGTGGGCTTAATCCATCATCTGGCCCTTCGGACGGCCAACCATAGCTCATCCCCCGAAATCCAGAAAAGTCCTTAAGTCCGAGAATATGTCTATTTTAGAACCCGAACTTTTGCGATCACGTCTGTCACGCGTGGCTGGCCCGCTCACTACGGTTGATGGAGTTGCAAAATGGGCATATGTCGTCGAGAGGTGGGGGAGGGGGGGCTTTAAAGGGAGCGTGACAGCAAGGAGAGAAAGCCCAAGCAAGCCTAAGCCAATTCTAGGCTAGGCTAAACTTAACCTAAGCATAAGCTAAGTCTAAGCTGAAACCGACGTCTAAAACCTAAGCAAAGCCAAAGCTAAGCCTATGCCGTAGGTCAAGCTAAACCTAAGCCAGCTAAGCCTAACCCTAAGCTTCTAAGCCTAAGCCGAAGCTAAGCCTTATATTTAGGAATTCATTAATTATTAACTACCTTTAGAGCCCCCCCGACTTTAACCTGATCCGCCGGGAATCGATGCGACTTGAGGAGCTACTGGAGGGCATTATCGGTTTGGGAATCTGACTTTTTAGGCCAACAAATTTAGAGGGCATCGAGAAAAACAACGAGCAAATCCCGGAGAGCTCGTTTATCGGGGTCTACACGACGAAGAGCTATGGGAACAAGAAGAAGCGGGCCGGCCTTTTCAAGCAGGCCTCGGTTTCGATCAAGAAAGTCGGAAAGGTTGGTGAAATGCACAGTAAAGCGTAGTAAGCTAACGTAGCAAAAGAATTCGTAACGTTGTCTTCTAGGGCCTCTTAAAGCTCCCGGGAAGCGTGAGAATCGACCCTTTTTCGACTAGGTCTCGACAAAATAGAAATACGATAAAGACGACCAAAATCACTAAAATAAATTGAGCTTTTCACGTTATCGACAACGTTGTCGAAGCTTTTTTAGCTGTCTAGACCTAGTGGACAGAAAGGGTAGATTTTCGCGCTTCCTAGCCGCTTTAAACTTAAAAAAACTGAGCTCCAAATTTTTTAGGTAACCTGGAAACCTTCCGGCCAAAGAAAAATCACCGGCACGTGGTTTGGACTGGCGGAAAGCTTGATCGAGCAGTACAAGTACGTGGATTCCAAATTGCGCACAACCTCTCGATTCTAGCGCCCATATCATGGACGTGGAAGAAGTGCACGAGCGCGAGATGAAGCTCATCGTGTGGAAGCACTTTATATTGGCCCTGGCGCAGTGTCTGCTTAATGCCGCTTAGCGCCCTTGATAAGCTTAATTTCCAAGACGACTTTAAGCCGCAAGATATGCAATTTAATCTATGAAAAGCCCAGCAAATCAACCTATAAAAATTGGATTTTTTCCGAATTTTGAATCCAAATTTTTGCTCATTTAATTTTTTTGTTTGTGCTAGATCCTAGGCCCATGCCCGCCAAAAATTTACATGTTTTTAGGTTTTTCCATGTGATTTTTCCATTTTTTTTTTGAAGAGCAACTGCATTACTACGGGTCCATAAAGATTCGTGAGCTTTTCTTTGAAAATATCAGTGTTTTCTTAACTGCTGTAAATTGTGATCTGATTGAGTTTGGATAAATTATTGCCTATTCCATATTACTGCTTTTAAGCCGTGGATTTTGTAAATAACGTGTTTTTAAGGAAAAAATAGCCAACCTGGTGGAGTCCTGCTCCTCGACGTGGTGGGCGCGGATGAGGAACCCGTCCAAATCAGCCAGCACCATCATCAGATCCTCACGGGTGGCCGGGGCGCCGTTGAGTTGCTCCCAGTTGCTCTATAGAAAAAGATGGATAAGTTGAAAGCTATGATCTCTCTTTATCCTTCTTTCTCTCTCGCTCACTGGCTCTCATTCTCTCCCACTGTCGCTCATTGCCTCTCCATCTCTCTCTCTCTCTCTCTCTCTCTCTCTCGTTATCTCACTCATTCTCTCTTGTTCTCTCGCACTCTCCGTCTCTCGTCATGTATCTCTCTCGCTAGCTCTTTCTCTCTCGCTCTTTTATATATCCCGCTCTCTCTCATTCTCTCTCTTCTCTCGCTCTCTCTCTCTATCGCTCTCTCTCTATCTCGCTCTCCCTCTCGCTTTAAAGGTACCGGCAGTCATAAACCAACCGCCAAAAAAATATCCAACTCACCTCATACGTCTCAATAGTAATCCTAGCCGGGCGTCCAGCTTGTAGTCGGTGCTCCTGATCACGAACACGGTGCACGAGGATGATCTGGTTGCCCTTGAGCACGACCATCGGGTCGGGGGTGAACGTTCCGGTGCCCTGGTAGTCGATCTCGAACTCCATCTTTCCACCGTAGGCGGTGACCTTGTTTCCAAGGAATCGCTGCGGCAGGCGCCAGTACTTCTCGTGGCACTGCTCGTTGTAGGTGAGGAATCCGGGGCGGCTAGAAAATGAAGGTTTGGGGGGTCTGATATATAGCTTTCTCTGTCTCTCTATTTCTGTGTTTTTCTTTTTCTCTCTCTCTCTCTTTCTCTCTCACTCTCTCCCTCTCTCTCTCGCTCTACCTGAACTCGAACTGCGGATGATAGTCAATGTTTCGCTCCTCAATATCCGAAATGGTAACACCCTCTGCGTCTCCAGCGAACAGCAGCTCTTCCTGGAATTCAGCAGGTTTTTAAAGAGACGTAGCATTGTCATGAGGGTAACAAGCAGGGAACATGCATTGACGCCAGGGGTTTCGAGCAATTTTATTGAGATTTTAGCGAGGTTTTGGAGGGTTTTTAGGGTATTGAGGGGTAGATTACATGGTTAACGACAAGCAGGTAATGTAACGCTTTGAGAGTATGACTTTTATAGGACCATTGAAGCTGGGATGAGCGGTATAGAGGGAAAAGCGAGGGGTTTTTTTGGCAGGCAAGAGTACACTTGACCGGACAAGTTTTTAGGAGTTGTTGTGGACACTTACACATTCAGCTTCCTGAAACGGGACAAATAAACATTAATGACTAGCATATAGGATTGGCAATTTTTATATTATGTAATGAACTTATAAAAAAGCTTTTTTGCAAACTATATAAAATAGGGTTCAGTTGTCAAATACTATTGTTTTAGTAAAACAAGCAAAAAACCAATTCTTCATTAATGCTTAATTTCTCGAAAATGAGCCAAACTAATTTTTTTAGATAAATTAAGACAACTGAATATTTTTTTATCGGATGGTATGAGCATGAGCTTGATCCTAAGACGATCCTAAGTACAGGCACAAGCCTAAGCCTACTTTAAGCATACGCTATACGCCTACAAGCCCGGAAGCGTTTCGACAATTCCACAAGGCTACAGAGTACATCGTACACGTAGAGTACAAGTTAAAAACTCAGAAATAAATCACTAACCTTGGTGCGGTAGAGGCTGGAGCTCTGGCACTGGTTGGTGACGCCGAAGCAGAAGCACTTGATGCATCCCTGCGGGGCCTTCTCGGAGAGGTGGAATGAGCCGGGCTGGCATTGGTCACAACGGGGTCCCGTCACGAGCGGCTGCAAAGAGGTACGGTCGGTAATAGAAACAATTTACAAGTTTAAGCCCCGTTTCTTTATGCTTTAAAAACCGCCAATCTCTATCAAAAACAAATAGCTATGCCTTGCTGGTCCCTTTAAAATTGCTATAAAACGAACCTTGCACTCGCAGCGTTCCTGCTGGTACGATTGGACGGAGCCGCGTACGTCGCACTGGACTTGGGGCCTAAATTTGAATAGTTAAATCTCAAAAATGACAAATATGGCTCGAAATGTCAGTGGTATAGTCGGGGGAGCGGTATAGAAGACCGTAGAAGTTGCTATGGAATAATTCATGTGATGCGGGGAATTATTTTGAGGTAAAGGTATCGCGGATCGTCTTAAAGCGATTAGACTTTTAAAAGGTATTTAAACATTATTATATTATTTAGGAGTTTCATACATAAAGTTTAGACAGTAATAGAGTTAGCTTAAGCTAACAGGTATCGGAATAGGTTTCTTAAAAGTGTAAAAATTTATTAAACCATCCAAAAATAAGAGGATATTAATGTTTTCTAATTTTTATTGATTAATTTTATATATTTATATTTTGTATTTTATATATAGAGTTATACTAGGTTAATACGAAAAAAGGATTTGGAAAATTAGTAATTTTAGAAGAATTTCGAGCCGCCCTTACGTTGGTGGAACGTATGGTGGCGGGGTAATTGGAGGGCTATAAATGGCAGTTTAAATCCTATTAAATTCGATATATTTAAGGCATCATGCATCACGCTACACTTACGGCGGTGGCGGATTATATCTTGGTGTGGTCGTAGGGCTAAAAATATAAGCAAAATTGGAGAAAATGCAATTTTAAAGGTTAGCCGGAAAAGGGGCTTGCGGAAAGGGTTAAAAATTTTTATAAAAAATCTATAAAAACAATTGACGACTATTTTCACGCACCGGTGGCGTGGTTGGTACCAAGATTCCCGACCGGCGGGAACTCTAAAATTTCAAAGATAATGGAAAAATAGCTACAAAAATCAGAAATAAAAATAATCTAAAAATTTCTTACTGTCGCTCGATTCTCGTTTCTCTAGTTTTTCGTTGTCTCTTTTTAAGGCTAAAAAAGATGGCTCTTTGTAAATCAAAACAAAGCTCAAAAAATTGCAAATTCAAATATTTAAAAATTGAATAAAAATAGTTTAAAAAAATTGAAAACACGAAATGAATGTTTTTTACTTACGTCGGTGGATACACTCTCGAAACATTATAGCTAAATTACGGCATTAAATTCAATAAATGGCTTTAATTACCTAAAATTTGGATACATTTAATTCATTTTAATAGTTTTTGGATTAATATATACAATTTAATAGCTCCAAATAGCTAAAATACGAATAATAGATGCTAATTGTCATAATTTTAGATTTTTTTAATAGAGCATAAATAGTAGAATTAAGAGGTAAAGACAGTGGAATTAATTCGATATAACCAGGGTATTAAACTGGGTTATTCTGTAGAAGTGGGATTTTCGATTTTTTTTTCAATCGACTTTTCGCACCACTCTACTCACGGTGGAGGTGGTGGTGGGGGTCTGTGGGTGGTTGTTGTGGTGGTTCTTAAAAACATGTTCATAGTAGCGTATCGTAATTTTCATGCCGAATCGAGATCGGTTTAATGCGAATTAATGAATTGGGGATGATGTATACCTTTCATCTAGGGTGTTCGGGATTTCTTGGGGGAACTCGCTAAAAGATGGACGATTTTTGAGGGAAACATTAAATGCGGATTCTCATTTAGCAAGTAGTTTTTAGTGTTAATAGTCAAAATCTATCTAAAAACATGTCAAATTTGTTATAAAATCGAACTTCTAATAAAATTTGTACGTAGCTGTACTAAGGACGCTAGGTTTCAATACTCTATACGCCGTATCGTACCGTAAAAAAACTAAAAAACTCTTGCTTCCCGCCGCGACTCCCGAATTTTTATGGAAAACCGTACGTAGCAGTACAATAAACGTATTTCACTGTCGTGTCTTAAAAAAATAGCGCTACCGTATCCACAAGTAAAAAAGTATCTGAAATGTCATAAAAAAATTTCGGATCGCTTCAAGATCACCCTTTTTCCGAAAAATTCGCACGTTCCAGTACTATGGACGTACGCAGAGGTACAGTCCTAAGTTGCAGACCCTGTACCGTACCTTGGTGGTGGCGGTGGTGGCGGTGGGGGCTGAACGTCTCCATCTCCAACTTGGACGATGCAATCGGGAGTGGCCAATACGCGTCCCTTGACGTTGATGGCCTCGCAGGTGTACGCTCCCTGGTCGAGTGGCCTAAAAAAGTATTTTAAGTTGTCCGGCTATATATGGTACCAGACCGTGGTACCCACGAGTTCTGAGAACTCCGCTCAACTTTCATGCCAAAAAACGTACTGAGCATCCTGGACGGTCAGCACACCAACTCCACCCTCGGAAGTTTGGACACAACGTGGGGGCTCGCAAACGGGGCCCCAGTTCAGACGCCAGTTGATGTACGGCTCGGGGACGGCGACGGCCTGAACGAGTTCAACGTAGTGAGTCCAGTAGATGTAACTCACCTTGCACTTCAGCTCGAAGGTGGCGCCCCGTTGAACGTGGAGACGGGGCTCTGGGGGTTCAACAACGGTCGGCTGGACGCAACCAATCTAAAAAATTTGGAGTTAGATACGGTTTTGGAGGCTTTAAAGGGACCGGGAAGCCTGTCTAGTTCTCTCTCTCTGTCTCTCTCTCTCTCTCTCTCTCGCTCTTTCAATCGCTATACATCCGGTAGATGCGTAGGTCAGATGATATGGTAAATACTTGCTGTGCCGATTTTCGCTGTGCCGATTTACAGTGTGCCGATTATTGGTATGCCGAATTTTCGCTATGCCGAATTTCACTATGCCGAATTTTCACTATGCCGAATTTTCACGATGCCGAATTTTCACTATGCCGAATTTCGCTATACCGAATTTTCACTATACCGAATTTTCGCTATACCGAATTTCGCTATGCCGAATTTTTTCTACTCTACTACTAATAGTCTCTACTAATGTTAATAACTAAGATCGACTGGGACTTAGCGGTGCAACAAAAAAATCTGCTGCGCCTACGGGACCTACGATCTGCCCGAGTTTTGGAAATGTCTAGGCTAACTCTAACTTTCTAGGCCCATGATATTTGGAAAAAAACAGTAAAAAAATGGGAACAGACCGCTTATCAAAATTAGTATGGCGAAGATTCGGCATGGTGAAAATTCGGTATCGTGAAAATCGGCATGGTGAAAATTCGGCATCGTGAAAATTCGGCATAGTGAAAATTCGGCATAGTGAAATTCGGCATGGCGAAAAATTCGGCATAGTGAAACCTCGGTATAGTGAAAATTCGGCATAGCGGAAATCGGCACAGCGTCAATCGGCATAGCAAAATTCGGCATCGCGAATGGAACTCGATGATATAACTTTCTAGCTTTCGCACTATCTCTCTCTTTCGCTCTCTCTCTCTCTCTCTCTCTCTCTCTCTCCCTAACTTCCCAGTCTCTTTAGAATATCGATTTCGATGTTCCAGCAAAAATTTGTGATGATGAATGAAAGCATTTTGCGAAACATTGTTACCGGACCGGTACAGCTACCTGGGCCAACAGCAGCAGCTGGTTAGTTCCTAGAGATTTTGCGGTGGGACTCAAGGTATTTCCGGGTGCTACTAATGACGTGTTACTGTACGCTACAGTACGGCGCAATGCGGTACGCGTAATCAGCACCATCTCGGAATTCCCTAGAATCCCCCACCCTCACACCCACACTACCACCAGCACAGCTTCCCCGAGAATTCAGCGAAGAACATCAAAAATATTGGATTAAAGGGGCCAGCAAGGCTGGGCTATGGAATCTTTCGAGAAACACTGGCAAATATCTGCATTATGTAATCGATTCAGCTTCAAGAAAATCCATAACCGTGCCTTGCCAATCCCTTTAACCCCCGGCGTCACTGCGGAAAGTTGCGGAACTAAAAATCGGGTAGGCGTAAAGTGGTGGTGGTGCTGTGCAGGTGTGGGGTGGGCTAACGAACCGGCAACTGTTGGCCCGGGTACTGTACGTCGTGGCGGGGGCCCGCCGGGGGCTGGTAGTGGCCCGGTTTTTGGCCCACATAGCGCCCGTACTGGTCATAGGCGGGTTGTTGGCCCTTTTGGCCGTAGGCGGCCTGGTGGCCCCGGTATGGGCCAGGGGCCGCCAGTTGTCTGGCGCCTCTGGGCCCTCTGGGTCCTTTGGCGCATCGAACCTCGTCGGATCCGTCGCGGCAGTCGTTAGTGCCGTCGCAGTGGAAGGATGAGGGGACGCACTGTTGGCCGTCATGGCACTTGAACTCGGTCTTCTTGCAGGTATCGCCAGGGGCGGCATGTCCTGAAAATGAAATTTATGACCGAATTTTTACGTTTTAACGGCACCTAGATGCATCGTTGCCTCTGCGTTACGACTGCGCGGCTTTTCCCAAATGGAAGCTGCTTCAGATATGTTAACATTTTACGTTTTAAGGGGACTAGTAAGCCAATTATCGACCCCTAGTGGGGCCTAGGTCTCGACAGGTACGCTACACCGCTACGAGGGGGCTCATGTTAGATGCGATAAATTTCTATGTTTTAAAGGTGCGCGAAGGCCGATAATCGACCCCTTACGTTGCCTAGGTCTCGACAGCTACGATTCACGGGAAATACGCCATTTCTATGTTTTAAAGTAGTTGACATGACCGAGAATCGACCCGCTTTATCCACTAGGTCTCGACATCTACATTTACGCCAAATTACGCCAGTCAGATTGTTTCTAGGGTTCCTAAGGTGACGTGCTTGACAAAAGTGATGCTCTAGCCTATGTGTTTTGACTTTTCGAAGTAGTTGTCGAGACCTAGTTGGCTGCAGGTGTGGATTCTATAGCCTGCCAGCCCCCTTAAAATGATCGAAAACAAATATTTAGGCGATTTCAACCAGTCAGGTTTTGCGTCTATTCGGACCAGATTCCGCTTTTTGTGTATTTTTTACCCCATTTTCCACCACGCTACTATGTGCACACCCCGCCAAATAAAAGGCGCACACAGAAAAACCATGTTCTCAATTGCTAAGCGGCTGGGGGGGGGGACAATCAGCAATAGGCAACAACCTATCTATCCCCAATTTCGGGCCGATTGAGGACGGGCGAGCGCAAACCGCGAATTCTTCAAGCTCTCTCGCTTTCTATCTATCTCTCGCTCTCTCTCTCCCTCTCTCTCCCTCTCTCTTCCCTCTCTCTCTCTCTCTCTCTCTCTCTCGCTCTCTCTCGCCCCTTCTCAGTTTCCACTGGTGGTTGTGGTGTGATAATGGGGGGGGGGGGCTTTTCAGCCCATTATCAAGACCGTTTCCCGCCCTCCATTTTCTCGCGCAGCCGCCGCCCCGTTTTTCAGGGGCGTTTTTTTTCGGCCGGGGCGTTTCGAGGACGCCCCGCCGTTTCCGCTCGACGATCGACGGTTTGGGCTCGGTGGTGCGCGCTATTTCTCGCCCTTTTGGGGTACCAAAGAGTGGCCTTCGAATTAAATGGGGAGAAGGCAATTGTTGCCATTCATTGGGGGTTCAAATGGGTTGATGTCGGTTTCGACAAAAGGTCAATAGAAAAATGAAACCGCGAATTATGGGTTTTAAAGAGCTCAGGAAGTCGAAAAATCGAACTTGAAGTGACTAGATCTCGACAACTACGAGGCACCCCTAAACCCGAAATTTCAAATTTATCGAGGTATGAAAAAAGGCTATTTAAAGCGTTTTTGGTGCTTCACGAAAGTGTCGAGACAGAGACAAGTAAAAGGGTCGAACTTAGCGCGTACCAGTCGCTTTAAAAAACCGTAGAAAATCACATTTTTTCATGTTCAAAAAAAGGCGCTAAGTCGAAGGAGTTCGGCCAAATATCTGGCATTCAAAAAGTTTAGCAGAAAATTTGGAAAGTCATAAAAACAGTTAGAGGCTTGAAAAATATAGGCAAATAACCCACCACAGTTCACCTCGTCGGACCCATCACCGCAATCGTCATCTCCGTCACAGAGCCACATCTTCTGTACGCAACGCTGGTTGTTACATCTGAAAACGTAAATTAAGTGTGCCATGCTAACTATAAAATTTCAAAAACCTAAGCCTTTGAACGGAGCCGGGAAGCTGATCGGTACAGACTTACCGATGCTCATTCGGCTCGCACTGACGCATGGCCGGGCAGTTCAGCTCGTCGCTACGGTCTCGGCAGTCGGGCTCGCCATCGCAGACGTACTCGTTCTTGACGCATCTGAAAATTGGAATGTAGCATAGATGAGCTGTCAATCGAGATACGTAAAAGCAAAAAACTCACTCGTTGTTTCCGCACTGTCTCTCATCAGGGCCGCACGCCTTGGAGGTGGGCAGGATTCCCTGGAGCTCTTGGGGGCCGACTAAATGAATTTATGCGTATGATGCTAAATACGCTGAGTCACGACTAAGCTAAGCTTAAGCTAAGCCCAAACTGAGACTAAGCCACGCCTATCCCAAGCATAAACTTACAGCTAAGCACGTTCAAATTCGCAGTAGCCTCCACGGTCTGGCCATTATGCACAGCTTGGCAGACGTAACTTCCAGAGTCAGAGGCCGACACCGGTGAGATGGTCAAACGACCAGAGCTCTCGCGCGCGTTAGGGGGAAGAGGGCCTGAATGTTTTTAGCATTATTTTGAAGTCTTTAACCCTGGTTTTAAAGGCTCTTACAATTAGATGCCTCAAAAAATCGATACCTCCAACTTTGGTCCACCTGACCGGCGGGTAGACAGAGTTATCAGCCGTTCGGGCCCTGCAGTCGAACGAGGCGTCCTTGCCATCACGGATTTGGGCCTCGGTAGGGTAGATGGTGATTTGGACTTCTGAAAGAAGTGGTTGTGAATTTTCTAGGCTTTCGATTTCTTCAGTCTTTTTTAAAGCCAAAAATTTCAAAATTTGGGTTGCTAGCCTCTTTAGAATCTTAAATCTAGTTTTGTATGGCTATCCAACATGAACTTTTAATTTATTTATTTTTAATGAACTTTTTACTCTACAATTCCTTTAACATCTTAAAAGCAGGCATCTTTAAAAGGCAAATTTGAATTTTTATATTCAAGGAAAGATTTTCTAAAATGTAATACAATTTATAAGATTTCTATCAACTTTCCATACTACTTTCTGGCCCCGGAATATCAGAAAATTTCAGAAAATCTAACTTGTGTCCCCTTAAAACCCGAAATTCCTATTTGCCGACACTTTCCGCAATGATACGCAACAAATCCCCTTTTTTGCACCCATCCCCCGTAAGGTCTAGGTTTGTTTTCCGGATCGGGTTACCGGTTGGCGACGGGCGACATTTTTTTGGCATATTTTCACCCCTGGGGGCATGGATCAGCTGTGGGGTCTGCCTTGAAGTCGCCCCATTGTGGGACCCCAGAGTGTAACGGGAAAGGCTAGGGCCCGGTTTTTCAACTATTCCGACATATGCCGATCAACGGCCGAACTGCCAAAGTGCCCGAGGGGGGCAACGAGAAGCTCGCCCAATCATCCGCACAGAGAATGAGGACGAGACCGCGAAATGTGGCCGCCGAGGCTAATGGGATGGTGAAATATGGGCGCGAAATGCTAGAAAACAGTTTTAAAGGGACGTGCAATCCAAGAATCGACTCCTGGAACTCACTGGGTCTAGAAAACTACTTGAACCCAAAAATCAACGGCGCATGAATCCGCCTGTCTAGTCCTAGTAATGTATGGAGTTGATTTTTTGGTTTAAGCGTACCCTTGGTGATGCTAAAAAATTGTTTCAAAGGAGCAACAAAGCTTAAAATAGACGTTTAAATCTCACTAGGTCTCGACAACTACTCAGCACTCCAAATAACGCATAAATCTAACTTGGTGGCGCTTTGGTATTACAGTACTAAAGAGCATAGTAAAATTTTTACTAGGGTTCCAGGCGTGCTTTGGAACGACGCGTAGCTGTCCAGACCCAGTTTCTGGATGGGGTTGATTTTTGGTACTTTTGAGCGATTTCTGGGCGACTAAAAACAGGTTATAAGTCCAATTTTAGCCCGCGGCGAAAACCATATTTCTATTTAATCGCTTAACGAGGAGTTTTATAAATAATTCTGCAACTCCCGCGGGGCTATGTCTTAAGAAAATGTGGAAAATCTGCGTTAAATCGAGAACATCAGCTCCAAAAAATCCGAAGTAGACTCACCCTGGCCGACTTCGTCCAAGGAGTTGCTGGCTGAAAAGAGGAAATTAATTTATTTTGTATACATTTTTGTGTAAGGCATTTTCTTTCGCTGGTTCGTTTCGGGACCCATACCGATTTTCAAGAATTTTCTCACCGGGCCCAATTCTTCAATATTTACCCAGTTGACCCTCTTGACCAAAGCTCTGCGCGGGGGAAGGAGTGAAAAGTGCGTCAGTAGTTCTCTTCTTTTCTTTTTTGTGCTTCAAGAGCCCCAAATTTAAACTCTTTTCTCTCTCGCTCTCTCTCTCTCTCTCTCTCTCTCTCCCTCCCCTGCAATGAGTTGGCAATTCTTAGCAACCCCCGGATTCGATTTTCATCAAATTTTAGGCGGCCCGACACACAGATGAAAAATGTGGATGTGGGTGGAACGAATTGTGACTCATTTTGGGCGGCTTTTTTCAGGATTTCTATGGAAATCGGAGGGAACGCCCCACGATTTTTCGTATAGCAAAAAGCACCATGTACAAAAATCGTCTGGGCGAAGAAGAAATGGGCAAAAAGCCTTTTTTTCAAGGGATCATGCCCGCAAAATTTCTACCGGAATTAAGAAATACATGGCGTGTACGGTTAGACCTTTAGAAAACAAAGGTTTTTGGATTTTCGGATCCAAACCGGTTTTTAAGGGACAGTGCCAGGAAGGTTTTCAGAGCTCGGGACGGCTAAGCCATTACGCCAGGTAATTTCTGCTTAATACGGCTTAAACTGGGAAAAGGAGACATTCTTTAAAGGGATAGCGCCGATTTTTGCATTAATGAACCAATTACGGCATGTAATTCAGCTGGTTTTTTGTCAAGAAAACTAACACGAACCTGGCACGCTCCTCTAAAACCCACTACGACGGAGAAAATCCCCAAGTTTCGATGCTAAGCGCAGTTTCTGAACAAGACAACCAATTACGACATTTATTTCTATCGCGATTAGCTTCGAGAGACGCTTAAAACTGGCGGGTTCCATTTAGAATATCGATTCTATCTCGAAAATCCCACAGTACATGCTAAAAATCGACCAATCATCTTTCCGCCGCGCTGCTCATTTCCGTTCGGTTCCGAACCGCTTCACCCCCCGGCTAGCGGCCTTGCAGACCAAAAAAAAAGAAGAAGAGACCGAGAGCGCGACACTGGCGACACATCCATCTTGTGTGTATGTGGTGGTGGGGAGGGGGTTTGGGGGTGGTGTTGGGGTTAAAAAGGGGGGATTAGATGCCCTCGTTATGACAGCCATCTTCTCACTTTTTTCTATCAGCCGATAGCCCGAGAGCAAGTCTCCCCCAGGTATCAGACCTTTTCAGGGAGTTTAAGAGGTGTGGAAAACCCAAATTTCGAGGTGATTAGATGATGGAAATCTTAGCAAATGAGAGGTATGATTTCGAGGGACAAGCTATCGATTTTTGGGGTGATTTTTGATCGGAAATGAGCGGAAAGTAGCGGAAGTTTCGGAGATTTAGAGGTATTAAAGGGATTAAAGGGGTTTCGAATAAATTTTCAATAACCGCATTACGTATTTTTATTAGCGTAATGCGTCACGCGTTGCGGTTGCGTCAAAATTTGTATGGAATCCAAAATGGTCTCTTTCCTGTTCCTTTAATTCTTGAAAAAAACGCACTAATGGAGATTTAGACTACAGACTACAAAGGATCGACCTAGACTTTCGTTATTAATTTGTTTAGGTGTATTTGGATCGGAATCAAGTGGAAAGTAACGGAATTTTGAAAGATTTTTCAATTTTCTCTGATGTCCTGGAATCAAAGTGAAACAAACTAGAGACTATGATCACAAACAAACAAACTACTATGATCCGACTATTATCAGCGGTCGAATTCTAGGTTTTTCCGGTTGATTTTTGATCGGAATCAAGTGGAAAGT